GGGGGGGGGGGGGGGGGGGGGGGGGGGGGGGGGGGGGGGGGGGGGGGGGGGGGGTTTTGGTGGGGGGGGGGGGGGGGAAGGTGAGTAGGGGTGTGAGTATGGGTGTGTGAGGTAGGAAAGGGGTTAGGGTAAGTGAGTGAGTGTATACCTTGCCAGTCGGCATCCGCGACGATAGGAACCCCTTGAGCGATAAGATCGCCGAACGCGAGGAGGGCCGTTTGGATAGTTCGGATCATGGGGCTCACGAGGATGAGGCCCACGTCAAAATCTCGAGGTATCCTCGGCATGATGTTGGCCTTTAATTCGAGGCATTGCTGCTGTCCTAATTCTGTGAGGACCGGGTCTGGAATATCGTAGTCTTGTGTTGGTTGTTAGTGAAACTAGACATGAATTTAATAGGCGAGAGGGCCACTTATTGTCAACATTGTGTAAGCCCTGGGCATGGCGCACGAGGATTAGGGTAGGCGGCATTATTGAAGGAAATACGGGTATGTAAAACCGGTATAAGCGGAAAGAAGAGGTTAAAACTGTTCAGAAAAACGGCTGCCAGGTTGAAAGACCCCGAGGTATTGACTCATAGGTTCGGAGAGGTTGTTTTGGGAGAAGTTAGGCATGAGTCGAAAGACACTGTGTAAGTCTTGGCAAGGCGGGCCGCCGTCACAGTGCGCAACTAGGAAAGAAATGACTGTAGTGACGACCCCACTACAACACTAAACCACTTTAAAATGAGGCCTGCAACAACCGCGATCCGATCGCGAACATCCAATTTGGGGTGCACTATCCGTCGCCCTGCCTCTCCTCCCCACCATGGCCAGCATAGACGAAATTTTTGCGGTACGTTCGCCCTGACCCGACCAATTTCCTTCCCCCGTATCTAACAACTCCCAGAAATCCGGCCTGCCCACAAAACGCAAGGGCGATCCCGTCCGCGACCCAAGTACGTCCTTCCTTTCTCCCACCGACCTATCAATGCGCCCCAAGCTAATGACCGCCAGACGAGGTCTACAAAGCCACCAAGACGTCCTCCGCCAACAGGTCCCGGCATGCACACGTCGACGAAGAAGTCGGAGACGATGACACCGAAGCAGGACCCGCTGCCCCCCCACTAAACGAAGACGACGACGATTACGGGCCCTCTGCCCCTCCCGACGATGACGAAGACGAGAACGACGATGAAGAGGGCAGATTCTTTGGTGGCGGCATCTCAGCGGCCGAACGCAGGGTGTTGGATTACATGGACAAAAGGGGGGAGGACCTGGGCGACGACGTAGACGAGGAAATCGACCTGGCTTGGCTGAAGAAGACCGCGCTCGCGTTTGAGAAGAAAATATCCCGCAATGCTGAGCTGCGTGCGCGTTATGAGGCGGAGCCAGCTCGGTTTATTGACTCTGAGGCGGACTTGGACGCCGCGATTAAGGCGCTATCGATTCTTTCCGAGAATTCGGAACTGTACCCTAACTTTGCGCGTCTCGGGTGTGTGGGAAGTCTGGTATCTCTGCTGGCGCATGAGAACACGGATATTGCGTTGGATGCGGTGGAGATCATTGGGGAGTTGACGGATGAGAATGTCATGGCCGAAGAGGAGGACTGGGTAGCGTTAATGGATGCGTTGTTGGAGGCTGATTTGGTGGGGCTGTTGGTCAGTAATTTTGGGAGACTCGACGAAACACAAGAGGCCGATCGCGATGGGGTGTATCATGCTATGGGGGTTATTGAGAACTTGTGCTCGAAGAAGGAGGTTGCCGACAAGATTGGTGCAGAGGAGTCCCTAGTGAAGTGGTTGTTGGAGAGGGCCGGGCGGAAAGAGACCTCGGTGTCGCAAAACAAGCAGTATGCTGCCGAGGTGCTGGCCATTCTGGCGCAAGCATCGGAAAAGAATCGGGTCCGGCTTGCGGAACTGGACGCGGTCGACCAATTGCTACAGCTGGTGGCAACTTACCGGAAACGGGATCCTGAAAAGGGCGGCGACGAGAGAGAGTACATGGAGAATCTTTTTGAGGCGCTGACCAGCCTCGTACACGAGCCGGTGGGTAAGGCCAAGTTTGTCGAGGCCGAGGGCGTCGAGTTGTGCTTGATCATGCTCAAAGAAGGGAAACTCAGCAAGCCAGCTGCGCTGAGGCTGTTGAACCATGCAGCCGGGGCCCCGGCGGGGGCTGCTGTTTGCCAGAAAATTGTGGATGCCGGCGGTCTCAAGACGATCTTCACCTACTTCATGAAGCGGCCGGATAAGGCGTCCACAGAGCACCTAGTTGGGATCTTTGCCTCCATGCTCCGACTCTTGCCCGGAGAGTCGGCTGAACGAATCCGTACGTTGGCGAAGTTCGTGGAAAAGGACTACCAAAAAACGGCCGAGTTGATCAAGCTCCGCAAGATCTACGCGGACGAAGTCCGCCGCGAGGATGACCGCATGGACCAAAAACGAAAGGGGTTGGATCGAGAAGATTGGGATCTTTTAGAGGATGAAGCATTTCTGGGGCGGCTAGAAGCGGGATTGTTTGTTTTGCAAACAATTGACGTGATTCTAGCGTGGCTGGTCGCAGAGGACGATGGGGCCAGGAAGAAGATCCAAGAATTGTTAACAGAGCAAGGCGGTCTTGCGGCAGTGAACAAGACCATTCAAGATCAGATCAAGGAGATCAATATCGATTCTAACGATGGAAAGGAGACGAAGGAGATGCTCACAACACTAGCCCAGTTCCTCCAATAGCATCGGCTACAAATATAGCACGTTTGTGTCAAATAGTCTATTCCAACCGAGCCAGATACCAAACAAGTTACCATTGATATGTTAGCCCCTTCTCCGTACCAGCGGTGACCGTGCATCGTACGCAGAAATGCGCTTTGCTGGTTCCGTTCTGCCCACCGAAAAGCCCGGGCTGGTCCCAACCTCACCAAGACCCTCATCACATCCCCCATCCCCCCCTAGGTCATCGTTATCGTAACCCCAATCAATCGCTCATGACACCGGCGCGGGGTGTGCGTCAAACACCGCCGACAACAGGTCCTTGATGATCTTGTCCTGGTTCGCCTTCCCAGCCTCCTGAATCTCCGCAATCTTCCCATCGGCCTCCTTGTTGGCCTCGTCTTCGGCGGCTTTGTTTCCTTGTGTGTGCTGTGGTGGCTGTCAGTGGCGTATCGCACAAAGCGTTCTGGAATAGCCAGTGTGTACCTGAGCCTCGAAGTCCTTGTACTCGGCCTCTTTGTCCGCCCGGTAGGCATCAATCTCTTTCTTCGCCTCGTCGCGGGCTTCCCTCACACGCTTGGTGCGGTCTGTTCGGTCAGTTCGGGCACAGAAGGGCAGTGGGAAAGCGGCGAGCCTGTAAGGTGGACGCACATTCGCGAGCTGCCGTTAAGAAAGTATTAGCAGACAACATCAAAACAGGATATAGAGCAAGCCGGCATACCTTTCTGAACGATCTTGGATGCCTCCCTCTCGGCCTGCCATGTACCATTAGCAATGTCCCGACTCGTATCACGTCCCTGCATAATCTTCGAGTTGTGTTCCGTACATCGAGCAAGGTTTGGATACCCGTAGAGTTTTGGGCCGACTATCGACACGTTAGCGATCGTCCTAGAAGTCCATCGAAGGTCATTTCAAGATGGCGCAATGCGACCTGGACCAGGAGAAGCTCACCATTGTGTCTCGAATCTACTGATCGCGTGCGCCGGGAAAACGTAAAGTTAAGATATCGGTGTAAAAGTCGGGCCAACTATAGCTTCTGTCCGCAAGATCAATCGAGAAAGCTGTCCTGTTGGTTGTTCTTGTTCCGTGAATGCGTTTCGATGCAAGTAGTCCTGCTGCACCGATGCACCGAAGCCAGGCGGATGGAGCCGAAGTCGTCCACCAACACCCACCGCTGCTGGTGGCACAGCTTCCCCTTGTCGGTAACCCCACTGGTGGTGGGCCCCGCCCCGCAATGCCTGCCGGGAGCTGTGACTAAGCGGTGAGCAGCGGCAGAACTATTCGGTCCGCCCCAGCGGCTCCTCCGAGGTTCGACTTCTGGCATTCGACCCGTGGATTGCTTGCTCGGGGCATTGCGAACCCGAAGCTGTAGCTAGTTTGGCGGGCTACTTTCTCCGACCCGCAATGCAGATGCAGTAACACGGGATCAATTCGCCCTCCATGTCTCGCGCCTCGAAGATGACGCTGCTGGGCAGCTCGCTATTTGCGCTCAGCACCGTGGTGTTTGTGCACTTCCAGCAAAAATACGAACAAGAGGTTAATATGCCCCCCTTTCTATCTCTTCCCTCCCAACCCCCCCGCCACGCCTCGCTGCCCTTGATACATGTAACTGTATGAGACTAATATTACTGTGCCCTTTCTCCTAGGCCATGCACCAAGGCGTCATCCGCGACATGGAACAGCAGCGAGTCAAACGAGAGCGCCAGGCAGACTTTGACATGCAACGCGAGCTCGAGGCGCAGTACAAACTCGAACAGACAGTGCGCAATGGTAGTGTTGTAGAGGCAGCACCAGGACTTGGCTCGGGGGCTGGGAAGTAAGACGGGTGAGCATGATGGGGACCAAGAACCAGAATAGGACTCGATCGGGACAAAGGGAGAGAGAAAGGCAGACACTGGGTCTAGAAACTCGGCGGACTGCCGACACATGCCCGTCTCGGGAGATACCCAAACAACGAGACAAAGCAGGCCAAGGAGGTATGCCGGAAACGGCAAAGCGAGAAGATGTATATCGCAGCGGGTTTCACATGATGTACATATTACCTTAAACCTCTCAAAGGGTGAAACACACAGACAATGGCATGTGGCGAGCCTCAGGGCCTTGACATTTGGATTAAACAGACTCAATTGTTATGGCATTACACCGCGCCGCCTCATCCGCGTCGTCAACTTCCATCCCGAGTTTCATTACCAAACCCACCACTACTGCCTTACGCATCCGTGGTCCCGCGGTTGACCCAGCAAGAGCCAAGAAGCAGCACGTCCTAAGATGGACGGTAGGAAGGGGTTCCCTCCTCTTACTTTTCGTCGTACCAGGTACAATTCGTAAACAAAATGCCGTTGTAGAGACCACAACGACCATGGCGAACCTCCCTCCTCATCACCATCAAGGCGAGTGACGCCAAAGGGGGAAAGCGAAACGCCAAAAACAACCGTCGAAATGCATGTTAAAATGTGTCCCTCCCTGCATCTCCAACCTCTCATGCCCGGTCCCTGCTACTCCCATCATTGGTCCCGTTCCCAAAATTTCCCACGCCAACTCAGTCGAAGTGTGCCAGATAGTTCCTTAACGCACCGAGATCCCAGAGCGGTTGGTAAACATGCGGGAAGCGATGTTCATGGACATCAGCTCCTGGAATAGCAGCTTGGCAGCGTACGGCATGTGTACCTGGGCGATCTTGGTCTTGTTCTTGCAGGGGCGGCACTCAAACGACTGTTTGGTCAAGTTTCTGTAAAAAGCACACCGTTAGTACCGACTTCTGTATCTGTGAAATGGAAACAAGTCAAACTTACGCGATCGGTGTCATCAATCCGCAGATCTCGCAAATATGCACGCGGAACGCATCCGACACCTCAAACAACCGCTCCTTCAAGAAGCTGGCAGCACCATGCGCAATCATGCAATCACGCTCCATTTCACCGAACCGCAGACCACCATCCCTGGCACGACCCTCCACTGGTTGTCGAGTCATGATTTGCAGCGGGCCACGGGCACGCGCGTGGATCTTGTCGTCGACCATGTGCCGTAAACGCTGGTAGTAGGTCGGCCCAAAGAACACTTGCGCGCGCAGCTTGCGACCCGTATGGCCGTGGTACATGACCTCGAAACCGCGAGATTGGTAACCGTGCTCACGAAGAAGATCAGAGACACTATCGACCGTGACGTCGGTAAAGGGGGTCGCGTCACCTTCCATACCCTTAAGCGTGGAAACCTTGGACAACAAACACTCGATCAAATGGGCAATCGTCATACGCGACGGAATGGCGTGCGGATTGATGATGATGTCGGGGGTGATACCCTCACAGGTGAAAGGCATGTCCTCCTGACGGTAGGTGACACCGATGGTACCCTTCTGACCGTGGCGAGACGCAAATTTGTCACCAATCTGCGGGACCTTGGTAGTGCGCACCCTGACCTTGACGTACCGCATGCCGTCCTGGTTGGTTGTTACAACGACCTGATCGACGATACCACTCTCCGTGCTGCGTAGGGGGGTCGACGCATCCCGCTTCACATGCTGGTTCGACCGCTGTCCGAGCTCGGCGTTGTCGGGGTTGATGGGGCAGGTCTTGCCGATGATGATATCCTCCCCTGAAACACGGATGCCAGGGGCGACAATGCCGTCTGGGTCGAGCTTGTCATACGTGCTGTGCTTCAGCCGCAAGGTGTCGCTCCGGTTGGGCTTCTCGAACTTTTCAACAATGTTGATACCGACGCGCTTTTCGCAATCGGTGTACGAGCGGAAGAAGAGACTGCGGAAGATACCGCGGTCGATGCTGCTCTGATTCATAATCACAGAGTCTTCTTGGTTGTAGCCCGAGTAGCACGCAATGGCGACAATGGCGTTCTGCCCGGCCGGCAGCTCTCGGAACTTGAGGAACTCCATGGACCGCGTTGTGGCCAGGGGTTTCTGCGGGTAGTACAAGATGTTGGCCATCGTGTCCATCCGACGGGAGTAGTTGGTGAGGAAGAAGCCCATGGCCTGTTTGCCCATGGCAGATTGGTAGGTGTTTCTGGGCGATTGGTTGTGGTCGGGGAACGGAATGATGCTGGCGCAAATGCCAAGCAGCATACTGGGGTGGATCTCGCAGTGTGTGTACATGTGAGTTGTCGGGTTGGTCTTCGTCTTGATCCGATTGTTGCCCACCCCGGAGTTGTCGGGCATTTCTCTCCCCTTCTTCCGCAAGCGGAATCGCTCCAGGTCTTCGGGAGTCATGCAGATCATGACTGTCTCCTCTTCTTCGGCATCAAGGTACTCGATCGCACCCGACTTCAACAAGCCTCTCCAACCCCAGTAGTCTGGGTGGTACCGGCCGAGGTCTTTGTCTGTTTCCAACCGCGCAATGTGCTCCTTGTTGAGGATCAAAGCGCCCATCTCTGCTCCGCTCTCGCCGCCGTTTACTTCTTGCTCCACGGTGAATAGCGGTCTCATGACACGCCCCGCATCGGAAAAGATCTTGAACTCGCGGTCGCGGATATCGCGCACAAGTGACACCTCAAACGAGATGACGTTCCTCCGTCGCAAGCCTTGGACCAAGGTAACCAGGTGTTTTGGATCCTGGTGGACACCAACCCACGTGCCGTTGACAAACACCTTCGTCGCGTTGGGATACCGAAGGGGCTCGTATTCCTCAAGCACCTCCATGCCTCGCGCAATCATGAATTCCACGATAGGGTCAGCTGGTGTCCCCACGCTCACGTAGCACATCAGCGACAGGTTCTTGACGAGACCACAAGCTTGGCCTTCTGGCGTCTCGGCCGGGCAAACCAAACCCCAGTGTGTATTGTGAAGTTGGCGCGGCTTCGCGAGCTTGCCATCACGGCCAATGGGCGTGTTGGTACGCCGCAAGTGGGAGAGGGTCGAAGCGAATGTGTATCTGTTCAACACCTGAGAAACGCCCGCCGTCGAGCTCATGGCCTTCTTCTGGTCACCCCAGTTGCCCGTCGCCAACGAGTATTTCAAGCCATTCGTTAATGTCGAGTGCTTGATACCAAGCGCAAGGGAGAAGTTCTTGTTGGTGTCGATGCAGCGCTTCATGTAAGACATGAGATCTTGGGTCATGCGCCGAACAACGCCACGGAACAGCTTTGCGAGCAGCGGGCCAGCCAAGTCCAGCCTCTTCTTGCCGAAGTGATCACGGTCATCGGGGTCGCGACGACCAAGCGCGCACTGAAGCAGCTTGTGAACCATGTATCCCAAGAAGAATGCTTTCCGAGTTTCGCATCCCTCCGTCTGCGAGATATGAGGGAGCATTTCCTTCTGAAGCAGGTCTTTCGCAGCCCGGACGCGGTTCACACGGTTTTGACCGGCATTGCCATTGCCACGCTTTCCGATGAAGTCGAGCGCGATCTCCCGGTCCTGGATGCAAAACGCCTCCTCGATACATGGCCGGAGTGCCTCCAGCATCTGCGTATCGGTGCGGTCGTAGCAGATGTGGTTGAGAATATCCTCATCAGACACGATGCCGAGGGCACGGAAGACGATCGCGAGCGAAACATCTTCACGCACATACGGAAGCGTAACGCTGACGGTGTTCGGCAGTCTTCCCTTCTCCGGCGAGCCTTTAGTGTGAAGCTTCATCTGCAGTGAAGAGATGAGGCGCGAGCCTTTCTCCAACGCAGACCGGATTTCGGCCTGGTACGAGACACTTCCTCCTGGCGGCTTCTTGAAGACCTGCACGATGTTGGCCGCCGAGCGCTCCTGGGCGATCAGAACTTTCTCACTGCCGTTGATAATAAAGTAGCCGCCCTGGTCGTATGGACACTCGTTGAGTAAAAACAACGACTCTTCGTCCTCGTTGGCCAGATGGCAAACTTGCGACTTTACCATTACGGGGAGCTTCCCGAGGAAAATCAGGTCGCCCTTTTGCTGTTCATCGCCCTTGCCCCCGCCTTCATGCGGCCCGGTGTCCTCCTCTTCCCAACGAATGGTCTTGGGATGCTCGCCAGTCCGGGCCATGTACTCCTGCTGTTCATCGTCCATATCCTTCAGCGCAACATCCTCGTTGATAGCGACTCGGGCACGCTTCATCACTCTGCAGTACATCGGTGCAGAGTAGGTCAGGTTACGGTCACGGCATTCGTACGGGAGAAGGCTGGTGGTTTCCCCAGTGGCTTCGGTGAGGGATGGCTTCGAAATAAGCACGTTGTCGAAATGAATGTCGTATCGTCGCATGGCAACATCGCGGCCGCTATCATCCCCTGGGTTCGGATGGTCGAGAGTCAAGTCGGCGTATTCATCGACGAGGGACTGGATGGTTGTTGACGTAAACTCATCGAACGAGTCGATCTGCTGCGAAACGAGACCCTTTGAGTCGAAGTAGGACGAGATGACTTCCCAGCAGTCCTCGGGAGTAATGATGTCTTCCGGCATGACAGCCTCCCCACCCTCTTCGCCGGTGCCGTTCTCGTAATCGTTATCATTTTCGTATCCTTCCCCGTAGGCGCCGTACTCGGCCTGACTCGAGTAATCGGCCATGCTGAAGGGAAGCAATCGAGGTAGTGTCGGATCTGCGCTGGAAAAGGCAATGCGGGATAGTGGGAAGTGAACGATCGATGGGAGTGACGACGAGGAGCGGAGCCGATTTTAAACAACTGACGGAGTTGAAATGGGCCTGCGAATTTTTCTCAAAACCAGATGGGGTGTTCGGGGAGGCGATCGCGTTCGGGTGGTGCGCGAGCTTAGAAATCGCCACCAAACGTGAGCGCGCCCATCAACTCGCCGAGCCCAAGGGTCGATTGTATCGCAAATCAATATCCTTGATGATTAGATAGTGAGCGTTTCTTAATAAAGAGCAAGCTAGCGACTGGAAGCGGGCCGCGGACGAGAAATCGCCGATGGTGGTGGTTTAGGTTCAGGAGCAGAAGCAGAATGCTCCCCATTGATTTTCTGGATCTGCGGGAGGCTGAAAGACGCGGCGAAGAGACGCTAGTCCGTATCTGGTTAGCGCAGTTGACCTCACACGGCGCCACACCGTGCACTCGGAATGTGGGTCAATCAGCCTCTTTGTCCCTTCCTGCAGCATATTCCACCCGACCACCTGCCAACGTTCCCGAAAAACATAGAACAGTGACATGTGCCCGTATTAATGCCGTGATGATGATTAAAAGATGTTGTTACTCAATGGCGCCTCAGGCCACCCGTAAATTTACGTCAGATTAAAAAAGCACAAGCACACACCCGTGGGCCGTCATCCTGATTTTCACACACCATAAGTAAAACAGCCCGCAAGAGACCGCGGATAGACCACGTTTGCTTCGATAGTAATCCGCCGTTGTGTCCCAAAATTTGTTTCTGCTTGCTCTAAAAGCCGGCATGAATGTTGGGATTTATAGGCGCAAAACTTCAACTAACGTTCGAACAAAAAACAAACGGCAACAGGCATATGGATAAACGGTTGGGCCTCGGGCGGCCATGATATAAGAAGCACAGCTTCGAGGGAGACGGTGGATTACGACAGAGATACACAGAATATATAGCCTGCATTCCTAATATGTCACTGAAAACCTTCCGGCGCACCCACGCCACCTTTTCTCCCTGCATCCATGCAATCTCAGCTCAGCTGCTTCATCTTGAGTTTACTCCCTAAACATTGCAACACCACCAGCTTGCCCCTCTCCCTTCGATACCCAAATCATCCCCGCAATGGAATGCTCCAACCAAATCGTTCGTAGCAAGTTCTCTCGAAGGCGTGTCCGAGGCGCCGCCCCCCCCCTACTCACATCCCTAGCTCCTCCGTCTCGCATTCGGAGTGGAAGGCCCCGTCGGTTACGACTATAATGACTCTCTAGAAACGAGGGCCTTATGCGCTAGACTGCTAGTTGATAGTTCCCGTGAAGTGTCCGCCATCCTCTGAGATCATTATATGGGTCAGCCCGGGGTCAACATGCCAAAAGTCACACTGAGTGACAAATGTTTGGAGTGGGCTCGGTCGAGATACTGGCTATCTGGGTTCACGCTGTATCCAGTGACTTTTCTAAGCCGAGACCAAGTGTTGGCGCCGAAGACAAGCTAGAATCGCGTAATTTTATCAGCAATCATTATACAGCGTAACAGCGGTGCTACGGACTATTGCACCGGGTTTGTTTGCCCCCCGGCTCGCTTAGTTATCAGGAAGGTTCCGTGGAAGTTGCTATCAATCTAGCTATAATTAGACAGGCGCTGGCAGAGAAACGTCGGGGGCCACCTCCCCAATGAACTTGACAGTGTTGGCCTCTCGGCCATCATACCAGGTAATTATGGGCCTTGTAGAATAGGTAGTTTCTTCCCGGGACGCCCAACACCGGATGAGGTTTCACAGATCTAGATCCTGTCAGTATCTGGTTCGCCGGCCCTTAATAATTCACTCGTGGAACCATTTCGGAGATAGAAAGTTGTGCCGTCATCTTTCCAGTCTGCTTGCTAATTATCGTATCGACCGGGCCCCCCGTACATTACCCAGTAGCTTAGAGTCCATCGACAAGGGCCGATTCGGGAAATGGAGACGTCAATAGGCGGTTTTATGTCACTATTACAAGGTTAATTATACTCGGTACACGGTGGGTAGAAAGAACGGACCAAAGCATCGGGCTGCTTACCACCGGTTGGTGGATCAGAATTCGCAAGTGGTGTTGGAAGCAAGTTTGCTCAATCAACCTCAGATTTTCCACGTCCCGGACAGCAGATGTTGAACAAGGGTCAACCACTAACAACCCATAGTATCGGGTCTCTCTGTTAATTAAATGCAAGTGTAGCCGACGGCACTACACCCTACTCAGCTGTCCAGGTAATGTGTGCTAGCAGGAGGATATATGCCAATAGGTGGGAACAATCACTACGTACCTGAAGATTGGTACTAACCGATTGAAGGCAGCATGTGCTGCCGTGGCTTAGTGGAGCAACGGCTGGTTGGTCCGGCTGGCGCCAGACACACGCCCCAGGCAGGCGCGCGCCTCCATGGCGTTTTATAGACTATTTAATATGACAACTACCCTATTCGTACCTAATTATGAAGTTATGATACACAAACCTTTCGATCATCTTTTCGGGTCGTTTATTCCTTGCTCCAACGCCTATTTTCCGGGCAGCCGTGAGGTCTATAAATACAGGAGACGCCCCCTCGGTAACACCTCGCCTTGATTTCCGCACCAGCAATCCGCCCGCCTCTCTCTCCATCGCCGCTTTCTCATACCAAGAACACTCTCTTTCTCATGGGTGCAATGCATCCTTCAGCTCACTCATCTTCTCTTACACCATTCGCACACACCATGGAGAACATATCCTCTGCCAGTTCGGCACTTTCGGAGGACGTTGGGCAGACTCACGAGTTGCCCCCGCAACAGCCCACACCCTCGATCACAGGATTGGCATTGGAACTCGTGGTCCAGATCATGTCTGAACTCCACGACATGTCATCACTCGGTTCTCTAATCCTGAGCCACTCATCCTTCTACATTGCCTACACGTTCGCATCCAACCGCATTGTTGGATGTATTATCCGCCGCCAGATTCCGCCCGGTCTATTGTGTTACGCCATCTTCGTGCATCTCGCTCAGGGATATGTGTTCGGTTATCTCCCAAGGGAGTCAAGAGATTCTTACATGATCACGACTACGACTTCTTTGAAGATGTTCGGTGGAAGCTCTTTCCTAACGAAGGAATCGTAGACATTTGCATGGCCGGCAGGTTGAGCCTCATGCACAACCACGTCGACTACTTCACGAAAAGATTTGTCGAAGATACCAAGCCGATCGCCCACCGCCGTTTAGGGCTAGGATCGGCGGGCCCGGCGTCAAAGGACGAGATATTTCGCATACAGCGAGCATTGTATCGTTTTCAACTACAATGCGAGTTGCTTCGACACCAATTTACTAAACCTGAGTGGGTCGACCTGAGGCCCAGCGTGGCCTACGGCGCTTTTGATCCTTTCGCACCTTGGGTAAACGAACAATTGGCTTGTATCCATGATTTCTTTACCAGAGTTGTATCTGAAGGTAAGCTTATAATCCCAATTCCTAACTTCATTGGCGCTCCAGAACCTCTACGCCACAACGGAATTGACCCATAATACTGTCCCACTAACTCTGGTTTTACCACTAGGCTTCGATGAAGTAGCTGCCCATGACGTTGAGTGGGGGTTTGAGGGCGTAGACTGGCGCGAGGGCGCGGACTTGCCGCGCGGGTGGGCGAGAGGACGATACAACGCGAGAAAAGACAGCTACGTAAGTTTCACGAATAATATCTCCCATGTTCAGTACAATATTGAATATTCTCTAACCATATACTTCATGATCAGCTGTTTGGCGGGCTTGGGTTCCTTCGCAAATTAGATCAGGTGAAGACCTATGAAGAACGGCGGATAATCTCCGGACGTCCACCCAAGCCCACAGCGCAGATGCTCGGGAGAACAATGCAAGAGTGCGGGTCGACGCGCGCAGAATGGGAGGATTGGGAGTATATTTGGGATCGTTTTGACATCGGCCCAGAAAACAAGAAGAGCTCTGCCGAGTCTTCCGGTTGGTGGATAACAAATGGTCCAGATGGTTACGGTTCTAGCCCCTTCCGTATATGGCGTGTTGCTCACGAGGACTGCTGGACGATGGATGTCGCCGGGTATCCTGACCATGCATCCCTCAGGCGCTGGGGTTACGTCATGTGGGATCTCCCAAGCACTATATTTTCAACTGAGAGACTGCTAAAGGTGGTTCTGTGCGGGAGGAAACATTCATTGCTGGATAGATTCCGGGATCAGGATCCGGAACGGAAACGGGCGATGAAGAGGTCCAGACGTGAACGTGCTGCATTGTATTTGAAAGGGGCGCGTGGATACTGGGCTGAGGGGGATTTGAGTCGGCTTGTTTGGCCGGACTCTAGGGCCCAGGGAGGTAACTAGGTCACCGAGAGGGATTGTGTTAAGGGAAAGACTAGGATTTATTCTGGGTTGCCCAACTAGTTGAGTAGGATCACGTATGCTGAATTGATTACGGGAATTGTAGCCGACAGCTCACGCTCACATTCAGAGCACTCTCGCCTAGTATACCGTGACTTATTTCAGAAACAAGGCCAAGTTAAAACGTTTAAAACCTAGCGTCAGCTACTCGGTGGTCTGTCGCGGCGTAAGCAAGGGACGCCGAACAGAGCCTTACCAAAGTCTGGCTTGAGCAGACCGGACTACGTAATTTATTAGGCCAAGAATCTTACTGGGAACATGTCGACGTTGTATGAGAGTCTACGGTCCCCTGTGCCAATGCCCACTAATTCTAACATGCTTTTGGTATACGGAGAACTCATGGCCTCGGTGGGACAAACCCGTAAGGCACCATCATCGGTTAAGACCCCCTTCGACAGAAGTCTAACAGGTCAAGTACATTCTGGGAGATATTACTGTAACAGCAGTCCAATTTTCTAGGGGAAAAAACCACAAAAGAAAACAAAACAGCTAGTTATTCTAGCTTTGTTGTTGGTTAGTAATTGAGACCGCCACTTCGGACTGTGTCTTACAGCCCCTTTTACTGTACACATGAGCTACCCCATACATTACCCCAAACCTGAAGTGCGCCCGCCGAATTTGCGTTTTCCCTTGAATCTCCTAAATGGATCACCCACCTAACAGCCAGCCAGCCACACACGGCACCACCACACGCGAACAAGCTCAGGCTAAGGTGCAGGGCAGGGTACGAAGCAAGGAGAGTCACATGAGAAAAAAAACATGATTTTATACAAATAATTAGATTTCAATTTATTGGCATTTTGAACGTAGATTTAGTTAGAGCGGGTGTCATCCAGGGTTGGGGTTATGCATGGAGTGGGGTCACATATAATACAGGCGAGGGGGCCGTAGGACACAGTCCGAAGTGGCAGTCTCTAGTAATGAGGTATTTCTGGAGATATCTGACATAGCTTCGGAAATGTAAATATACATCTACTAGCCAAGTGCATTGAAAGGCGGCATAGAAAAGTGGAGTTTTATCCCAATCACGACTTGGTGCCTCTACGGTGTTAGCTTTTTCTCCCGGGAGGCAGAATGGCACCCAGCACATAAAATTGTCACATAGGACCCTTGAAGCGGTCCATCCCTCCAGGCCCATGGCCGATCCGCAAGTTTGAGTATTCACCAGTGTGGAGCGAAAACGTAGAGTTGGACATCTCCGGATAGAGCGTGGGGTTGTTGTAGGGGGGGACAGGCAGGCGTTACCACGCCCTTGGAATAGGCAACACAAACGTCCTTATATTGTTAGATATCTTCGTCAATCGCATCTCTTTGTTTCAAGTTGGATGAGAAATTTTCGCACGCGGGCGTTACGAAGGAGCGATTCAACGCGGCTTTCGTTAGGCTTCGTCAAGAAACGTATCGCGAAGGGACTTGCCAAGATACAAACTTCATGAGCGGGGTGGAGGCCCGTGTAGCTATAGACCAGCGAGCTACAGGCGGTGGCATTGAGGGCGGTCTGAAGGGCGAAGGAGGAGAAGGCAGCGGATAAGGAGGTAGTGCTGAGGGACGGGGATAAGTGTTGAAAGAAGTCGAGGGCATCAGAGCCGGAACGTCACATGGAGGGTCGCTATTGGCACGGCGAGCACGGCCAAGCTATCTCCATGAGCTGAGGATACTAAGCTACCGAAACGCCGTACACGGTTAACAACACAACTACTTTGGTACAAACCAACAGCATACTCGGCATTTCTATGGCACATAATAAGAATGTTTAAAGAGTATCAAAGAGCACACCACATGGCCAAAACGGGGATGTCGAAACCGAAAATGGCCCTATTCCGCGGCACTCATTGCAACTGTCCTAGCCAAGGCTCTGGTCGGGAAGTTCGCGTTCCGGGGACTCCGGAGAACTGTCGGACGAGCCCCAGGAGGGAACAGGTGATATCTCACCCTCCTGACAGCCCAAATAAATGGCCATCTCCCGATGCTCATATGCGGCATCCCACCACGACCCGGCATTTTCGCGCTTCCCGTCGACCTGCTTCCAGTGACCTGCGGGAGAGTCAAAGCCCGTTTGTTTATGTCTTTTAATGACAACAGTTCCGTATTTTTTGCTGGCCACACGTCTCAATTTAAACTCACTGGAAGAGCAATTAGCGGCTGGACCACTTGGGAGAATCTTGTACGATATAATCAGCGGCAGCATAACTCACGCCTTCCTATAATGGAACGCTTTCTTTGCATGGCCGCACATTTCACGCTCTGTTTGTTGAATTGTCAGCCTTCATATTGAACAGCTTGGGTAGACACATGAGTGACTCACGCTCAGCCGCTGTGTAGTTGACATTACGCTGTCGGCTTCCCTTGCCGTCACCGTACGCGGCGTTTGGCCCTGAAAGTTGCCTGCCACGGCGGGGAATCAGTCGTTCCATACGACGATATTCCTCTGTTGCGTCATCCGCAAGCTCGCTGGCTTTGTGATATGCTTTGCGCGCTTCGTCGATTTGACTGCCTTCTAGATAACTCTCATTTCCATCTTCCCCTGTTGTCATCATGGATTCGTATCATGAGACATAATCAGTTTTGTAAATTTGAGGACGCCATTTTCTGTGCGGGGCCAGCTGTTCCGGAAGCGGCTGTTCCATATCGTTCTCCTCGCGATCGAATATCACACCGCCGTCAGCGCCGGTGGGGAAATAGGTAGTTGTTGTGTCGTCCGATGCAAAATAGGGCCTGCCCTGAGGTGAATCTGACGCGGAACTTGAGCTGGGTGAAGTTGTAAAGAACTTTGACACAAATACTCCCACGGGGCGACCTTCTTCCGCAGTAGAATAAAGAGCGCACTCTTCATCGTTCGCCTTACACCTGGATTCGGATCCCGGGGGGCTTGACGGCATTGTGACCGGAAGTGTGTTGTTTGGACAGCTACTCGATGTGTGAGCTAAAGGAGAAGATGTGGGTGAGGATGATTTTTGATCGGTCCAAGATGGGGCGTAGGACGGTGTCTTGTCCCAAGAAAAGGATGGGTAATGGTGTGAACTATTGTACTTACTCGTCGTAAATCTCGAAGGAAACCTAGGTGTCGAGGGGGTAATGATGGCAGTGTTGGACTCCTCGACCTTCAACAACGCTTTCCGACAAAGAAGTCGTTGGCAAGTCGATCAAGCGGTTGAAAAGCGACAAAATGAGGCCAGTTGACGGGCTCTTTCGTTCTTGGGGTCTGGGATCGGTGTTGACGCAGTCAGATAGCAAGTGTTGAAAGTAGTGAACAGTCTCAGTGTGTATGGTGTTCATGAATGAAGGCATCCGGGGGGATGGCAATAAATACCGGCGGGGCGGAAGATGTTGCGAGAGACATTCACGTCTTGAATTACACATATCAACAATCCTCATTGTTTATACCCTCAAACCTATTTGACGGGAGCTCATGACTCTCCTCCTCCCTATACCAAGATGCCAATTATTACAAGAGAGTGCAGCAATCAGCGATGCCCTAGAGTCATCCAAACCTCTTTCGTACCTCGTGTGAGAAATAATGGTCGTTGTGGGTTGGTGGTGGCTCAGCAACCATACGCCTATATGGTCTGTTCCATGTCTCTTTTACGACAAACTTTAACTCGGTCTCCCGACTTTTGCGCCTCTAGTCCCACACGTCGTGCGTTATTGTCTCTGACTTGATGAACATGCTGGTTGGTCGTCAAACAACATCCAATGGGCGTAAAACGCCTAACTACTCGTGTTTTAATGCACACAAATAGATGTAGGTGCCTTTGTCAGGAAAGAAACCGTATTCTCATGCCTGTAAAATGTTACTGGTACCTTAGTCCATCCCCAACATCCTCACCGATATGTCGACAAGTGCTGCTTCACTTTGACGCACTGCCCCCATTACTTTAACCACAACAGTCATGGGCGATACTCCCAGAGACGTTGCAAAGGCCCATCACGGCTGGAAAGTTATTCCATGTTTACAGCAAGTAAGTAAGAGGAGTAAGGGGAATCCCCAAAGCAATTAACCCGTATCTGGAAGAAGTAACAACGTCATGCTGTCAGAGGTACTGTTCGTACAGTGAAAGCACCTTGGGATTGTGAAATGGGCACGGGTCTACCATCAGATACTTCACACTGTTGACAATTTACTGGATGCCGAATTAACGATTAGAGGCTCAAAGGGAGCAGAATGCAAATGACGACTGCGAATGTAACGCCAGAGACGAATGAGAACCACAAGACTAGCCAACGAGCAAAACAGCAACGAGCAAAACAGCGGGGAAAGCGGGACGCCCTACGAGAGCAAGTGGGTTTGTGGGTTTGTTGCCAAACGACCTGACGTAGTTTAGGAGGTAACAGAATCTGTCGAAAGTGCTCACTGCGATCCTATACTTTTCATCCAGTTCACAAACCACCAATAACAGACAGGAGGTAGAGAAATATATCCGGGTTGCGATGAAGTTGTTCATCGGCGTTACGTACGTTCATCCAACATTTCATGGGGGGCTTTTACTACTTACACGTATGGTGGCTCAAGGAGTTATGCCCGTCCTCTCAAAAGTACTGTTCTCTACCTCCATACGACACCAAATGACCAGACATAAATCTCGGGTACTTAACTATACACATAGATGGATAAGTCGGTTTGATTGGGAACGGTGTAAATTGTCAAGAGGCTGCCCAGGGCAATACAGGGCATCTCGTCGTTTTCTGAACACTTGTAGCGAGTAATGAGTGACAAAATGACGAACAAGCTCGAAGTTTGACCAGGTAGTCATAGTCATACAGCGGGTAATTACAGCCCCGAGGAAAATGAGTCCAAATCTTGACTCTTAGCAACGTGACGTGCCCCACTCGTTTAGGCACTCGGTTTCCGAACAAACTTCAATTGTGTGCACCATGACTGCCGTCAGGGCTGGCCTCTGAGAACCAGCTCAGCATCGACCGTCCCCTGGCAAGCACTGCTCAACTGCCCCTTCTGGCCATCGGGGGTGGGTATATTATCGTGAGGCTAATTACCTGGAGATCATTAAAATCGGAGTAGCAATCGCAGAATTGACAATACCCGAGGTGCGAGTGGCAGACGCCGCAGCGCCAAAATAACTAGAGGGCGGTCACTCGTGGTTGGCAACAAATTTCTACCACGAGTGTTTGCAAAAAGTTCAAGCAGCAAAACACCTGATATTGTTTGGGAGTTGACCCCTTGCGCACTAAGACAAATAGGGCAAATACACCTGCCCCCAAAAAAAGCCAAACCGGATTGAACTACGTCATCGCGACGCGCCCGTGTTTTCCGACGCGTCCCCCCCCGACAAACCATCACTCAGGTCAGAGTGATGCTGCAAAGTGAACACATTTAAAATAAAGCCCAACCCTGCCCCCTCCTCTCCTGACTCCATCTTCTTATTCATTCCATCAAGCCCCACATCCCTTTTCACCGGTTTCAGAATCCAGAGCCATCATCAAGATACAGACAGCATTAAACTCGGTCAACGATGCCCCCCAAACGCAACGCCTCCAGCGCAGGCAGTCGCGCCAAGAAGCCGCGTCCATCCAACGAGTCCCCGGCAAAGCCCCCGGCAGCAGAGCCCCCGGGACCGGCAGGCGACGCGAACAACGACAGCGGCGACGAGTTCGCCAACGACGAGGAAAGGGCCGCCGCGGCCGCCGCAATCCCCCGCAACAAGCGATGGTCAGCTGTGTCCGGGTCGGCCAACGCCGATGGCGACTACAAGTTTGCGATCCGCAACCCGGCGAAGGCGTATAAGTTTGTGTGCATGTGTCGGCCGCCGTTTGTGAATGGAGAGGAGGAGGAGGAGGATGGGGAAGAGGTAGTAGAACGGGATGGTACCAAGAAGAGCAAGCGCGCGAAGTGTGATGGTGGGAAGACTTGTCTGTGTGATAAGCCGGCTGCTGAGCATATGGAGCACCCGTGGAAGTTTACGTTTGCTGGCAAGCGCAAGTTCTTCACGCAGCTGACGCATTGCCAGCTGCGGAGCCCGGACAACTTTGGCATGTACACGTTCAACGACCATGAGGGGTACGGTGTGGTAGAGGTGCTGCAGAATATGGTGCTCGACTTTGAAGAGGCGGAGGGGAATTACAAGGAGCAATGGGCGGTTTGTGAAGCGTTGGGGATGTTCTTGAAGACGGACTTTGCGGGGGATCTTTCTCAGTGCGTTGCCGGGTCCCCATGCCCAAGGTTCCCACCCTCTGGCTTGATGCTAACCTGTTGTATAGCGTTGATGGCGCTGATCTCATTGACGCGACATACCAACTCATCGGCCGTCTCTTCATGTCGATGCTTGCTCTCCTAGAGCGGAAGAACCTTCTCTCCAAAGACTCCGAGATCAAGAACCTCGACGTGGTGATGGCCATTTTCTTGGAGGTGGCGCATGGTGCCCGATGCTACGGGTTCCTCGAAGACCCTGCGACAGAAGCCCTTGGCCCCGCCAAAGACAAGAAGACATGGCAGCCAGATTACTTCGACAACAACATCGTTGCCTACGCCCGCAAGTACGATATCGAGCTAACCGGGATTCACGGGCTTGACAAGCTGATCGAGGACGCTGACGCGGATGTTGATCTGCCCGTGCCCACGTCCAACGCGGCCGACAAGGCGGACCCGTTTGGGTTTGTCAAGGGGCTGAAGGCGTACAAGAAGGAGCATGGGGGCGTCACTGCGTTTTTGGCGCAGACCAAGAAGCCGAACTCAGTCATTGGAGGTGATCACTTGGACATCACCTCCTGGACTAGTGCGAAGCGGAAGAGCAAGGCGTTCAACGAGAAGGACCCGCTGGGGAAGGAGGAACTGGCGGCGCTGAAGAAGGGAGCAGTCTTGTCGCTTGCCTGAGTGATGTTGGCCGAGTGATGTGCGGGCCGGTGTTGTAATTTTGGATGTTAGCCTTTTTCCTGTCTTTTTTGTTCTGTTTCTGTCATTCGCCTAGTAGCACAACCTGATAGACGGATTGATTGAAGTGCGGTTGCTTGAGTTTAATACATGTATTCGCAACGACTGATAAACAAATAACTAATTATCAAAACCAAACCCATGCAACCAAAGTCTAAGGTCCAAAAAAGCTAGTAATCAAGAAGAATCCAATCCTCTAACACTGCACAAACAACCAATCACCACCACCCTCCATTCGCCATCCCCGTTCCCCGTCCGTCCACTCCCCTCAAGCACCTCCTTAAAACCCACTCAGAGGGTTCGGGTTGGGGCCCCTCCAGCCGCCCTGCACAGCGCCCAAAATCTGCGAATCCCCCTGCACAGCAGCAGCCTTACTCCGGAACGCCTCCAGCGTCTTGCCACTATCCACCTTCTGATTCACCGACCCAACCATCCCACTCTGGCAATGCCGTCCCTTAGTCTGCGCACAGTAAAACCACACCGGCTTATCATCCTTAATCTCAATCTGGAACACCTCCGGGTTCTGCTGCACCGAGCCATCCAGCTTGGGGCTCACGGGGAAGAACCCCGAGGAGAACGGAGTCGGGTTGGCGTCGGAGGGGGCTTGCGGGACGCAGGGCGCGTCGAAGGATGCTTGCACGACGGAGTGGTTGGCGGGGAGGAAGTGGAACTCGACGATGTCCCCGATCGAGGCGAAGATGTTTTCGGGGTCGAAGTGTAGGCCGGAACGGCCGGCGACTACGCTATGGGTGATGCGTGGGGCCGTGTAGGTGGCCGTGTCGCGGACTGGGAGGGTTTTGGAGGGGCCGTTGCCGGCGACGGGGACGGCGCTGGTGAGGGGGAGGAGGGCGGCGGTGGTCAGGAGGAGGATGTTGGTGAGCATGTTGGCGGTTGTGGGGGGGTGATTGATTAGGTAGGAAGAGTTGTTTGGTGGGTTGGATGTTATTAGAGAGTTATGTATGATGGTTTTGGAAGCGGGTTGGAAGTTTGGAGCAGTGAAGCTAAGTATTAAAAGCGGTGATGATGGTGAGGCTGATGATGCTAGTGATGATGTGAGGATGGTGATGATGGACTAGACTGATGAACACAGGAACAACATCAAATTATATACCCCAAGGGGCACCAAACTTATGCCCCATTGCTATCGTGTATCCCACCATCTCACGATACGCCGCCGCGTCTACCTACCCTCGGCGTTGACGCCTTTCCGAGTTCCGGTAACCCAGCCCCGGGCTGTACACTGCGTCTGAGTGTTAGTGCGCGACAGCAATCTAGTATGGCTGACACTAACATCCCAGCATTAATTATAGAGGGCATGCGCGAGGGTATTCCCCGCGATTACTGAGCCAACGACAGCGTGTTTGCTGAGCTGACAGCACGGAACTCGGACATCCGGTAAGCGGCACGGGCTGCTTGGGGGCTAAGTTAGGCGCCTCTTTTAGAATGTGAGCACACCACGCGGGGGCTGTGCTGACATGGAATCATTTTAGATTCGTTACCGCGCCCCCGGATGCAGCCAATTTCCGGGTCTTTGGGACGGGAATCTTTGAGGAGGCTAAATTTCCAATTCGAGAATGGGCATCGGGGAGCATTTGATGCCTAAAACTCAATCAGTCGAGTTGTCGAAACTCGACGACCCCGGAAGGCTCGAGTTCAGGGGCAAACGAGTTCCGTCTAACAGGGTTAGGGTTAGTTTGTCGCCTCAGTGGCGCCCAAGCAAAGAGTTGCACATCCCCTCAGTTTTCTGGCCCTGGAGCTGTGGAGTAACAGGCTTGAAGGCCGGAAGAGAACACAACCGACTTTAGCTAACAGTATCCAGTATCCAGTATCCAGTCCCCAGTTGGCGGCCGTGGCGGTGTGGAAGAAGCCGAACGGTCGACATGTCAGGCCTGAAATGCTGACATGATACGAATACATCGTGCTAATGTCTGATGGGCAAGGGCAGGGAACATTCGTTAGTAAGTGTCGACCGGGTTCATAACAGGGCGACAGATGGACCACGTGTAAATCTTTTGTGGTTGAGATATGGTCTCCTCTTTGTTTGCACAAGTGAGATCCCAGCATTTACTGGTCACAATATACAGGGGGGATCGCCCATTTGTTGCTACGATCGATGCACATTTGTCTTTGGCGACATAAACTAGTTACTCAATAAACACTCAGTGTACTTTGGTCCGACCGCTTGAAGCAAGCTGCCCGTTGACCTGTCACAACTGAGCTCTGGAGATCACTGGGAAGAAACTGTGGAGGTCCCAACCCGCCTTGGACGTAACCGTTCCGAAGGCCAAGGACAAAGCCACTATTTGGGGACAAAGGACGAATTATAGATATGAAGTGTTCGCTGTCAAAGGCTTTCCTTAATTTAAACAGTGGCCTAGGTCCTCAGGTCTCATCACTACTTTTACAGGTCGTTCACAAAACAATGGATTAAACTTGTTCACTTCTGACCAGTTGGCATTTCCAGCAATATGAATGCCCGTTAACGTTACCTTTTCACACTTTCTACCACAAACAACATCTGTGTTCGTCACTCCGTCTCCCATTATGTGACAATAGCACCATTAGCATGCTAAATTGTGTCAACATCTGTCGCATGTCCCCGTCCCTTCGTTCTTGATAACATCTTGAATATTGTTAACCCCGTCACTGTACACGTTCCCCTCGCTAAAATATCATATCATGTCCCAGTAGATCCCGTAGAACCCCCTCACTCCCGCATGGCATGGCAATAACGTGAACCCCATTTCCCAATCCGATCACTCTTCGGTAGCCCATTCAATACTGCTGTGGTACCTGCTATATTCTCTCCCAACTCAGCCCGATGCCACGGGGCTCGGCCGCACCCGGCCCCGGCCCCGGCGGGAGTTCACGACTCGGCGGGGATCCGTGGCTCGGCGGGGGATTGCGGCTCGGCGGGCGTTGGTGAATCGGTGGGGGTTCCGGAATCCCCAACTAATAAAGAGAGGGCAAGGCCGGCGCCGGCACCCAAACTTTCCTTCTACCCTTTCACTTCTCTCCCGCCACCATCTTCCCGGCCGATAAACTAACGGCCACTTCCCAACTCCAACTACTCGAACCAAGTCAGCCAACCACCAAACAGCCGCAATCATGCCACCGACCAAAACTCTGCGGGTCGAACCCGTCATCTACCGCGACCCCGGCTTCCGCATCACCACGAGCTGCACCGAGCCGGGCTTCATCGCGAAGAGCGGCCCCCGCAACAACCACACCGTCAAGGACTTCGAAGCCCTCGACCAAACCCAGCCCCACATCCACTGGAAGGCGCACAACCCTTCCTTCCTGATCGAGCCCCAGGACGTCGTCGGCATCCGGCAGCGCATGCGCCCTATCGTCGTGACCCTCGACGGGGTCTGCAATGAAGACGCCGACCCGGGCAGCCGGGCCGTGTACGACCGCCCTTTCCACGCCGCCATCGAGATCTGGTATGACGGCCGCCAGAAACAGCTGATGCAGCCGACGCGTGTGGTGCGCCAGATGCCGCATTGGACTCGGGCCAGTCGCGCCGATGACGGGACGGAGAGGGTCCTTTTCTTGTTTGACGAGGTTTGGGTGGATAAGCCGGGAAAGTTTACTTTTCGGGTGAATATTTATCTCCCGACTTCAGACTTGGACAAAAAGCCGTGGTGCAGAACCCTGTTCAGTCCTCGCGTTACGGTGACCAAGGATAAGGTGAGGATGGAGAAGGGTCCGACGGAGGCCAGTAAGTTTCTTTTCTTCTTGTTGTTCTTCGTCTTCTCCATCTCTTCATACTACCTCTACTTCTTCTTTTGCATCCTTTCAATGCGTCTTCCATCGACATTTACTGACTAATTCTTCTCGTGATAATTAGCCGAATTCGAGAAACTGGTGTGCGAGAAGCTGGCTATCAGCCACGAAGCACCCGAGGTAGTCCCGTTTCTGGCCTTTTGGGATGAAATCCTGGACGCCTGTGATAACTCTGAGGTTCTTTTGAGTTGAAAGGTGGGAATCTTGGGAGCGGAGGATTGACGGCAAGCACGGGATAGAGTGTAGAGCAAGGGATGGGCAAGAATTACGCGTTGAATTGGGAATTGCTTTGGTGAGTTACAAGGTTATTCAACACTCAAGACTTCTCCCTATCATGGAAAATACAACAATCGAATGGTGTTAACCGAGATCCCGCGCCCGATTTCAGCCAAACATTTCTGACCAATATCATCCACATCCAGCAAGTAATTAAAGCGTGCCCCCGAGAGCACAGTGAAGCGAAAAGGTTTAGTCTAGCATTAAAACACCTGAACGCATAAAAAAGCCACCCTCTAATTATCAGCAGCGTCACCCATCATACACTCATCCTCCCTCATCCATCCATCATCACCTCATCCACTACTCCCTAACACTTATCATCATAAAACTTCCCCTTCACCAACCTCCTCCCCGCAACCCCCTCCAATCCCAACTCAACCAACGTCTCCTTCCCCGGCACATACCTCGGCCACCCATTCTCCCCCTTCCTCTCCTCCACATTTCCCCATCCCTTCGGCCCCCGATACCCCTCCAACCCCCTCACCGGATCCCTCGCAAACGCCGCCCACGCACCCCTCAAATACCGTCCCGTTGCCTCTTCCACCTCCGTATTCCTCACCTGGCTTTGGTCCACATTCCCGAACAACACCGCCGTTTCCGAATCGTGATACGCCCCGCTAGCGGGTTTGTTCCCAAGGTTGGTATTGGGAAAAACACCATGCCAGCGGTACCGCCAGGTGGGGTTTCCTTCGCTGGCCGAGCGAGCGGCGCGCGCCGCGGCGGGACAGACGAAAGTGCGTTGGTTTTCGCCGTGCCAGAAGGTATTTTGTTGCGGCGAGGTAGAGGTCGCGTTGGGGTTGCCGTCGCCGGAGACGAAGGAAGGAGGGACGAAGACTTTGAACAGGCCGGATTCGTTGTCGGTGGTGCCGATGAGCATGGGGATTTTGGCGGTGGGGTGCTGGGAGGGGTTGGTGAAGACGTGGAGGTCGTCGATGGTGGGGGAGTAGCACATGGGGATCGGGGCGTTGATGGTGTTGAGGAGGGTGGCGAGGATGGAGGGGTAGGGGACTTTTTGCATGCAGGAGAGGACAAGGGAGGGGGGGTGCGTGGTGGCGTCGCCGCAACCTAGGGCTGAGGTGGTGTTGTACCAGAGGGAGGCGGCGGCGGCGGAAGGGCGGGGGGTGATGCCGGAGGCGGTGCCGGACATGGGGATCACGCCGGCGATGATGGGGTCGTGGGCGAAGGCGAAGGTGTGGTCTACGTAGTGTTAGTTAACTAGAAAAGCACGACAACAGGTGTGACTTCGAGAGGGTAAAGGACATACGGTCGACAGAAGCACCACCGGCGGACTCGCCAAACAGAGTGATGCGCTTGGGGTCGCCGCCAAACCGGGCAATGTTATCGCGAACCCATTCGAGCGCCAGGCGTTGATCGAGCAGACCGAGGTTGCGCGTGCTGTGGGGGTTGCCGGGGAAGCCAAAGAAGGTGATGCGGTAGCTGCACAGTTAGCTCGACAGCTCAGGGCCAGAAACAAGAGACTTGAAACGTACTTGATGGTTACCAACACCACATCCTCCTGCTCAGCAAAGAACTGCCCGTTATACGCTGGCACAGCGGAGCTCCCTGCCTCAACGTTAGCCTTGTTTCCCTCTCAACCTCAAACACCAGCACCAAACCCAATAAATATCGACCTACCAGAAACAAACGACCCGCCATGCACAAACACCAGCACCGGTTTCTGCTTCTCGCCCGTCTGCGGCTTGGTCCACACGTTCAGCGTCAAACAGTCCTCGCTGATGGGAATGCCCGGGTTGGTCATGGTCTTGATGATTGCGCGGCCGATGTCGGTGATGCCGTAGGAATCGATCAGCGACTGTGGGAAGTCGGCGTCGTATGCGCTGATGTTGGAGGGGATGCATGCTGGGCCCTGGTCACATTTCGTTAATTAGCTTGATAACCATGATGAGGAAATGAACAAAAAAGTACGTACAAACCGCCCACCATCAATCCTCCCCTTCCCATGATACCGCACCGGCGGCAAAAACCTCAACTTGTTCACCGGCGGCTGGGCATACGGAATCCCCAGATACTCCGACACCTCTGTCGCTGTCGACGCAGCATGTCCGTGGACGGAACCGCTTGTCGTATGGACCGTCTGCCCGACCTTCCATTTCGGGGGACCGCATGCCGAAGCGGCGACTAGCGGTGTTAAGAAGGTGAAGAGGAGGGTGAAGGGTTTCATGCTGAACGATTTTTGAACGAGCGTTGAGAAGTATTGGACTGAAGAAGGAATTAAGACAAAGACACAAGAGTAAAAAATCAAGGAGTGTGTCTCTGTGTGAGGAAAGCAGGTATAAACAAAACGGTCGATCATCCCAAAACCACGAATTCCCCTCCTATATGTATCTCACGATCCGACATCTCCGCAGTCGTGTCTCCTCGGATTCGGCCCTCAGAACGCGACATCAACGCCATGTCCGTGATGTTTGCAGCTTTGCCAACGCGTAGTGTACATACAAATGATGATCTCCATTGTCGGACTCAATCCGACTCAAGACGTGTAAGTGAGCTGAATGAACCAATCCAACACCGTTTCGGCATGAGCGGCCCCACATATCATCTTGCTGTACCCGTGCCAAGGCCAGCACATCTCGGTAACACGCCAAGCATTCGGGGACTTTGCGCATGCTTTTGGCCCCTGAGCACTACCGAGAGCCGCGAGAGCGAAATGCAAAACATCATGCGGGAGATTGAAGGTGGATTTTTGGTTTGTTTCCAAAAAAGAACATAACATGAGGTATCATTAACTGTTTTGACTTTGCGCCTAAAAATAAAATGTCAACCCGCTAACCAACTCCTATTCTCTCGACATTTCAGATCCACATCCGAACCCGAGCCCGCCGGCCCTGCCGATGACGCGGCACTGGGCCCTTCCGAATTAGTAATGTGCACCGGCAGCATCTCTTCGTCCACCAGTTTGCGGTGCTGATTATAAGGTCCCCTGCTACCCCACGACCGCACCGGTGCCGAACCGGAACTTGTGCCGTCCACGCCGGTTGGTGAGGTGATGCGGACTGCGTTTGAGCCGCGCTTGACGTTGACCACGAGGACGCGGAACATGGGGATGGCCTGCGCGATGATGGTGACGCCGGGCTCGAGGAAGTTGAAGATTGACATGAACACCATGAAGTCTGCTGTGTGTTAGCTATTAATCGTTGACGGCTCCGGGTGGGACACAGCATTGCGGGGGGGAAATGACGCACAGTAGTCATTGTCTATCCTCTTTAGTTGGTAGAAGGCGCGAAAGATGACAATAGCACCGTTGAGGGCCCCAAGGCTCATGGCCACCGTGAGGCCGACCTTTTCTCGGGGTTCGAGGAGTAACTTGCGGATGATAAACCACGGGAAAAGAGCGAGGAGGACGTCGATCACGCCACCATATACTGCACATCGTTAGTTCCCAGCTCCGTTCCAAGCAACTCATGAACAACTTGGACAACCGTACCAATCGTGGTTCCACCAAAGTACTTGAGGTAGATGAGGTCAAAGCACATGTAGTTTTCGGGCCGGAGCACGGCCCGGGGGTCTTCGCATGCAGGGACCCATATCGAGATGAGGCCCAAGGCGAGAATGAGGTTGGCCGTGATGATGACGACCCACAAAAAGTAAAGCAGATAGCGGTTCCGGACGATGCGCACTAGGGTGATGGCGAAGGCGACCTTGGTCCAGGCTGTCGCGATGGTGGTGAACGAGGTAGAGGTGTTCTGGAAGAGGAAGAAGCTACGCTTGTCGTCGTCGGTCTCGAAGCCACCGCTAATCGTGCGGCTAAGCAGCGCTGCCGCTACTAATAAGATGGTCTATTTCAACCATGTTAGGATCCGGCTCGTATCACAACCACACGACATGATATGTCTTGGGACTCGGTTTCGAAGTGGGATTGGGTTGGACGGGCAGAAGCGTGGCGTTTGCGTACCCATGACAACAGAAGCACCCCGTCGTCATACCACAACTTGGAGTATCGATGGCGGCACCAGATGCGGACGAGGAGGAAGGCGCCCGACGCGGCGGTCAGCACCCAGACGGCGACATTTGTCTGGGCGTAGATGGGGTCATCTCCCGATTCCTGGGAGGCCTGGTTCGGTGGAGGCCCGTCACTGCTCATGGTGGTGCTGCCCTCATGGCGGGAGTCGCAGCTGGTGTTGGTCCCGAGGGAACGGCGCAACTCGGAAGGGTGAACCGGTGAAGGGGGGTGGGTTGTTGTTGTCGTTGCGGACGGGAAGAATGGGGAAGCGGAGCGGCAGTTGGGCGGCTGGGCGGCAGAGGGTATTAAATTCCAAATGAATTTTGCAACAGCGCCGGGACGGGAGGTGAACCAGGTGAGCCAAGCGAGCAGCCGTCCACATGGCGAACCGGGTTCTGCAGAGTTTTGAGCGGGCGTGCCATCCTGGGTTTAGTGGGCCAAGTCTGGGGCATTGGGGCGCTTGGGATTTGGTGGCTTGAGAAAGCGGGGCACCAGGACTTTCCGATTTGACAGTTGAAAGAGCAAGCGAGAGCGAGGGGCGGAAGAATGGGCTCGAGCGCATTGTACCCCGACTTGCCCGAGTCCAGCTCAGGCTAGCTCCAGCCCAGCATGGGAGATCGGCGGGCGTTCTGGGCGGGGTGCTGGAGCAGCTCGCTGGGTTGTTCTTGCCAACCGAGTCCAACTTGGAACGGCGAGCTGGGATTGAGCGCCTGACCTCTCCGACGCCACCTGTCAACGAGCCTCACGGTCGTCGGTGCAGTTGCCAAATGTGGCCCAACGGACAACAGCCCGTTCGCTGCGAGGCTAAAAAGAGTGCATACTTTTTCCACTCCCCTTTCGCTCCTCCTCTCAAGCTGGCCATCCACGATCCGCCACCACCCAATTGAAATTTCCAGGTTTCTCTCCTCTTTCCCCGCACACACGTCCCATGCCATTTATTCCCCCTCGAGGTCTTGTGTGTGAGGTTCGTTACCTCCAATAACTATCTTTTCACAGACGGGACGCAGATCACACAAGCTTGGGACATGGCCCCCTTGGCTGACAAAGTCTGTGCGCTAACGGCCGGTGAACTTTGTTGGAGCGACCGTTCCAATTCCGCACCCTCGGAAAATTAGCACTCGGGGACCAAGGTCGAGGAAATCCGCGGGGCAAATCAGAAATCAGGCCACGATGAGACTAGGCAGGGGGCGAACACGAATTGGCATTTTTGACCCTTTCTGCTGTCCCTGCGTTCAGACCTCCCTTTCCCCCAGTATCGATCGTGGCCCACAACGTTCTAGCTTGCAGTCTAGAGCGCGCCGTCGCGACCAGCTGGCCGTGCTGGAGTCGGCGCCGTCGGCGCCGTGAACACGGAGTACCCCACCAGCAATCTCAAAACTCCGAAACCTTTGCGTAACGGATTGTTTGATTGGGCCCAGAAATACCACTGAGGCAGACTAACGTTAGCGGCGTTCCTGAGGCCTGGCTCGCCTGGCTCGATCAACCCAAGACAAGACCAAACGAGAAAGGTGCCACCGCGGTGAACGTCAACACGCTCAGCCCAGTCTCAGGCCGCGGCAGGCAGCTTGACAACCAGGCTAAGACAGCAGGGCTCACCCCTTGAGATTCTGGGGCTCTCGAGTCCCAAAAAGGTGAGCAGATCGGGGGAAGAAAGAATGACGGCCACTTCGCACGTGACTTTACCGTTTGACAGACTCCTGAGACACCTCCAACCCTTTGGGAGTCTTGGCGCCTCTCCAACAGGCGAGGAACTTTTCACCTGTGAGTGTTCCCAACCGGGTTGCACCGATGGGACGTCAGTCCGGTTGTTCAACCTCGGGCCAATCGTCATAAAGGCAAAAGCAGCCACAACGCGGGGATTTGAAGCCACCGCGTGTCCATGGACCTGCCGTGCCTGCTGCCGGCTGTTGTGCATCGGCAGACAAGAACGTGAAAGGTACCACGGGATGAGAACGTGATGTGGCAGTTTCCGGGTTTGCAATTCAGGAGAATCAGAGAAAAGTCCGGCCTGAGACCGGACAAGGCCGTTGTACTTCGTATTCCTCATTGGCTACGACTTCTTTTCTGAGTCAAAATGGCTGCACCGAGCTCCAAGCCACCGCACCCTCGACGACCAACGTCAGGACTCGGACGAGTGAACTGAGCAGGTTGAGGTCGGGCCGAAGGGTCTCGTTACCTCCTCCTTTCCCCTTGACCCAGTTCATCGGATGCAGGTGAGACGACAGACGGATGCTGAACACTCGGACACCACCTGCAGCGTGCTCAGACGTCTTGGTTCATCTCATCCATTTGAACATCCTCCGTTTACCGTAGTCTGGACTGGGCGCGCTTCCGAGTGCCAGTATTGTCGAGAGCTACCAGTGCGCCTTGATTCCCGCCTCATTCCTGTCCCCATCAGCGAAAAATACAGCAAAGAACGCGCAACGACGGCCCTGAAAATTGAAATCGAGTGGTTCTGTTAGCAACGGGCAATGAATTTCCGTGGCGGAGGATCAACATGATCAGAGCACCACAGCGGCACTGCACAAGCCGAAACTTGAAACCGGCAGCATAACCCCGCCTCGAGCGTCACCTCTTTCCCTGAGGCACCTCAGGCACTTCTCTCCCAGGAATCCCATTGTTCATGGGTGGTGGGCTGGCAATTTAGCTTAGGTGCTTAGCAATGGCTCTGTCAATTCGTCCCCAAACGGAAGAATTCGAACGACCCCGCTTGGGCGTGTTGATTGGACCGCATGCGTGGATGTGAGACGTGCCTTGGCATCACTGCATCGCAGCTCGCACGGCCGTGCGGCCGCAGGTTTGTGCAGGAGTACGAAAGCGGAAGCGAGGACGATCAGGTGTGGAGGGGGAGAGCGAAAGTGAGAGAAAAAGGGAAAAAGACGAAAAAAATGAGGAAGCGGCTCGGGAAGCGGCAAACAACCACGGCTCGGGCGATGAAGCGAGCCCGCGACGGCTCGAATGCACGGCTTTCGGGAGGTTGGAATCCGTGCGGGCGCGGCGGAGGTCATTGGGCATGGGATTGGCGCGCTGATGAAGGGTTTTTGTTCCCGGAAGAAAGTCCGGCGATGAACTGGGCAAAGCTGGGGAAGCTGGCCGTTTGTGGGAATTCACTGGCTGCGCGCGGAGAGCCCACAGCTGATCACGGGAGATCGCAGACACTTGATTTTCATTGCGGCGGCGATGTGACCTTGTCGATGACGGCAAAACTCTAAGGTAAAGGCCAAGATTTTCATCAACCGAGGCAGCACGGCGCGCAAAGCCGTCTTTTGATCTTGAGAACGATTTTTTCTGGCAGCATCGGAGGGACGACTTGCCTATCCCGGGGCCGACAATGTTCTCCACCGTTCCTCGGACAAAGTAATAACAACAAGAAAAAGTAGCAGAATTTCGAGCCGCCAGCAGAAGAGTTCTCGCAGTCAAGGATAGGAATCGTCAAATGAAGCGCATCCGCAGCGTTCACGATTTTGGTGGACTGTCTGTTCCCTAAAATGTGGGGCATTGCCGTTTTCGGCCCGTCTCCGTCTGTTTTGTGCGACAGTCTCTTCTCACTTCTCTGCACCACGGTCCGCTAAAGACATAACGTTATAGGCCAGACGTAAAACCTCAAGCTAACGTGACGAAGCTTGAAAAGTGGTCTATATCATGACAAAGACTAGAAGTCAAGTGCCTCCCGGAAACGTAGGGATATCTGTCAACCAGTGAAACCGTAACTCGACCAATAATCATCACGTTTTCTCACCTCTAACACATCACCAAGTGTAAACCTTAAGCCCCGAATTCCAACGGCGGTATCTCGTTTCGTTGATATCTTCCGCGCAAATTCGACACACTCGTCTGCGGCGCAGTCCGGCTCAACGGCTCGGGGTGTTTAAGGTTTTCTGGCCGCGCAAACGGTCTGCCCTGTGGGTCGAGGGAATACATCCGGCCCAACACGGCCGCGCTTTTACATCCTTGTGATCCTGCCGCCGTGTCTGAAGACTAAACGTGGCCGTCGCGAATTTACACACGCGACCAACACGGCGAACTTTTTGAGGGATAGCGAAAATGGACCGATGTTTTGGGCTATTTTCATCTGGGCCTGGAGGAAGGAGGTTGAGGATATTTCTGGTCGTTGTCGGCCGATAGGACTCATACATAATGTGTCTATTGAGAGGGAATACGGAGTGAAGGTGAAGCATTAAATATCGGAGTATCACCACCAATACACATACCTTGTCGCCTTGCCCGTATTTACCAGATCAGCATCCCCATTGTTTTTAACATCTCATCGACGAAAGCATCTACTAAAGCATCAACTCAACCACCATCCTCTGGGAAAGATAGAAAAGCTTTACGAAAACACAACGCCAGAAAGACTACCAAAAAAAACCCTGAAAACATACATCACCAACACATCAACAACCATGAACAACTCCGGCACCAGCGCAGACCGCCCGGCCGTCCGGCCGCCACCCCCTCAACGCACTGCTAGTTCCAACACCACCAGCGTCCCACTTCGCCCGGCTCCGGCTCAGTCCGCCGTCTCTCGCCCGCAGCCCCAAGGTCAACGCCCCCAAGGCCAACAACCCCGTGCTTCCCAACCCCAGGGTAACCAACCCCAGGGTAACCAACCCCAACCCCGCCAGCAACCCCCCCAACAAGCCGGCCCAACCCCCGCCGCCGCAGACGGCCTCAACGCCCTCCTCGCCGCGGCCCGCAAAACCGGCGCCATCGAAACAAGCGGCACATCCACGCAATCCGTCCCCCTCTCCCGCACTCCCATCCCCACCGAGCTCCTCCCCGAAGTCGCCCACGCCCTCAACGAGGCCCTCGGCCCCGTCATGCCCTTCGCTTTTGTCAAGGGCATTGCCATGCGGTATCTCGGTATGTCACCCGAAAAAGCGCCACCGAGCCACCAGATTGAGATTGTCACGCCGGGGGTCAGTGTTCGGGCGCTGAGGGCGATGGTGGAGAAGGGCAAGCAGGAAGGATGGTTTGGGAGTTGGGAAGAGAGTGGAGTGCGGGTGGTGTATTATCGCGGGATGGACGGGGGCCGGTATCGGGTTGTGGTGTGGTCGCCGCAGGCGCTGAGGATTAGGTTTGCTGTTGCGCGGACGCCGGCGCCGGCGGGGATGCCGCCGTCTGCGAAGGGGTGGAAAGGGGAAGGCCCGGTGGTGAGGGTGGGAGTGGGTAAGGGGAGGGTGTTGAAGCCGGCGGGGTTGTTGGATGCGGCCTGTGATATGTGGAATGAGTTTGTGGCGAGGGAGGATGAGGACGGGATGAAGGCGGAGGGGGCGAATATTGCGTTTTTGTTGGGGTATATGGTTGCGAACAGGGTGGTGGTGTCGCAGGGGGAGCTCGGGGAGATGGGGAATGCGATGGATCGGGGGTTTCGGGAGGAGTTGGGGAAGAGGGCCAACTTGGAGGGGAAGTTTGCGGCGGTCGGGTTGAAGCAGAAGTGAGTGACTCTGTAATTATTACTCGCTATGTATTACTCTCTATGGAGTATTACTCTGCCTGTGATGGGGACCCCGGGTTTGTTTCGGTGGAGAAGGGGATGTGCATGATGGTCGATCGTAGGGCTGGATCTTATGGCTCGTGGAGTAGTGGGGGGGATGAGCGGTGCAGGGTTGAGCTGGTGGGAAAGGGTCTAGATGGGGGGTCTGACTCGTGTACTCTATGCGAGACTCCATGCGGGACTCCATGCGAGACAGACGACACATCTAGAACAGAGGGGTTAGGTTAGACTGTTCCGGGCTACTGCTTGTGCTGTGAATTGATTATTTTTGTTATAGACATCCGTCGTAGTTGGTACTTGCTAACGCTGTAATGCCCTCGCGATAGTTACTCCATGACTCCTACTCCGTCTTCAACATGATACCAAGGGAGCGGGTAGCGCTTTTGAAATCCGTGATGCCCGACGACTCGCCATCGAAATCGAAGGCGTACTTCTTGATCTCCGTGTCCTGTACCGCGCGGCACAGTTTCGACCATTTCACAGCCCGATTGGCATTCGTCAGGCCCAGACTCGATCCAGTCCACCATGAGTCGACAACGAGGTCGGAAATGTCCCGGAACCTGGAAGCTTCCGACATGGCAAAGATCAACGTCAGCGTGGCACGCGCTTTCTGGCCCGGATGGGTCACGCCGCTCCCCAGAATGGTAATCGCAGAACCGATGTCGCCGGCGCTTAGCGAAATATTCTCCAATCTCATGCGTGCGTTTGACGTCAAGTCGCTGTAGTTCTCGCCTCCCTCCAGTCCGTGCCAGGTATTGGGGTTTGTGAAATAACCGACCATGTAGAGGTTGTCGGTGCGGAATCGTGCCCGGACGGTGTGAGTCGGCTCGTCCGGTTTGTTCTTGTACGACAGGTTCACGTCGAAGAACTGCTGCCGCCCGGGGACTTGGGGAGTCAGGACCCGAACACCCGCAATCCATTCCGCTGTGAGTCGCCGCCGTATATCTTCGATCATGGTCTTGTAGGCGGCGTCGCCATCGTCCCGATCGACGGCGAGATCGAGGGTGAATTGAGCGTTTGCCATCTCGCCTGTACCTGCGTCCAACTGATTAGTATCTAAAGCTTTGTGAGGTGGTGTATGAAGTGCTAACCTTGCAGGGTCTGGAAGCAGTGCGCTCCAAGTTTGGGGGAAAGATCGGTGTGATGATTTGATTCAGCTCACAATCTTGTCTAACCTTTCGAAGAAGACGGAGGAAGAGGTTTCTTTGAAGAAGTTCCGGCCTTTTGGGCCTTTTTAATGACGGGTTCCAGAGCTGCCGCTCCCTAGATAGAGAATCTTGCACCAGCCCCTTTCGAGGGCCGGCACGAGACCCGGTCACGATAGCCAAGGTCAGGTAGCGTAACGTCTTGCGTTGGCATGCACCACATGCAGGCGCGACGGCCTGCCACCAGCAGCGGAGCCCAAGGTATCATTCAGGCTCACAACAACACCACAACAACAGCAGTTCGGCTCCCGCGCCTAAGTCTTGTAAATAAGCGATTGGAATACCTGTCACACCGGTCGGTAGTCTGGTCGAATTGTTGTGGCAGATACAGGGGCTCCACTTCATAGCTCACATCTTGTTGGCTGGTCTTATCTGCTTCTTTCCGCTTTGCATGCAAATAGATGATCCATTCCTGCTTCTCTTCGGCCTTCGCTTTGGAAAGTAAAGATAATCACATTATCACAGCTGAACCTTCAACAGAAACGCCGCAACTACTGACGTTGAGTGTGCAATCCTACCAGCCCACTCCGTTGTGTAACAATTGGCGCACATACATTGGCATGCAGAGCCTGAGGTTATCACCTTGCGAGAACCATTTTGTGAGAATCATTTTGTGAGAACCTATGACGAGGACTCAATGGTGGAGGCCTGGAGGCCACGCATGAGGAGATCGGAGATCTGGACGCAATGATCTTCTTTGGCCTCAAGTTACTTGGTGCCCCTCAACCTCCAAATTGGGCGCGACCGGCATTATCACGCTCGCGCCTGAATGTCTGCATCATGTGTGTTTTGAGTCACTCGCCTCCGACATTTGTCCGGGTCGCACAGCCAACCAGATCGTTCTGAGGTTGTTGCAATCCCGCGGTTACCGCGTGAATTGACTTTTGTTGTAGACGGCTGTCGTATTTTGTACCTGCTAACCTTACAATACACTCGCTATACTCTAACAAATGGTGTACAAGAACCTGCTCCTTTTCAAATGTACAATCCAATGGCACCCTAATGACACCGGAACGCCAGCCTCCCGTCCATATGTATGCACACAATCCCCCTACCGTGTATCCATCATTCACCCCCCAAAGCCAACTCCTTAAACCAACTCCTTAACCCAACCTCTTAAACCCCCCCTAACTCCTAACAGAAGAAACACTCCCATGCCTCGGATACCCCGACCCCGTCTGCCCCGGCCCCGTCTGTCCCGACGCAGTCTGTTCGGACCCCCTCCGGTCCATCAACGTGACCCCCCCAAAACTAGTCTGACTCGCCCTTCGCAGCAGCGGATCACACCACACCAATGTCTGGCCGGCGGCCATCTGAGCCTCGACGGCTTCTTGGTCTTGGGTTGATTGGGGGGTCCAGGTCTGGGGGGTGGTTGAGGGTTAGTTCTATGGTCTATGACTTTTATTGTGGCGATACAAATGGAATGATATGAGATAGGAAATATTGAAGTGGTACATGTGGGAAAGAAAGGGTTCAAAAGAAAAGATTGGAAGGAAAAGATTGAGATGTAATGCGATGTAACGGGGAGACATCAAAACCCCGCGATGGAAAAAGACCCATCCGAAAAAGACCGGTAATAGCTATAATCAGGGGCAAGCGAAGACGAGCTTACGGGGTAGTGGTATGCGATTGGGGGCCGACGGGGAGTGGGTGTGTCTCTGGTGCTCTTGTCGCGTGGTGATGTGGCTAATGGGCCGATGGCGTCGTCTTCTTCTTGATGGTATTGTCCATGCTTTTTGGCCGTGAAGGAGTGTGTATGGGCGATATCGTTCGCGCCGACTGTGCTGGCGCTGGCTTTCCTGTCCATGGCCCAGGTTGTGATGTTCCACCCGGTTTGCTTCTCGTCCTTGGTGTGCGTGCGCGTGGGGTAGGTGGCGTTGGATGGGTGGATGGTGTTTTCGTTTTCTGCCGTCTCGTTTTCGTCCGCGGCGGGTGGGGATGGTGTTTGGTGATTGGGGACGGCCATCGACAAGGCCGCGCCCGCGCAGATGGTGGTGCAGGCCTCGAGGAACTGCCAGAAGTTGATCCAGGGGAGCAGGGGCGGGTGGGTAGCGGCGGAGGGGGTGCTGGCACGCACGGCGGCGAAGGAGATACCGGCGAGCGAGAGGAGGAAGAACAGGCTTAATGGAATGGGCTGAGAGGTTTGTGGCTTAGTCGTGGTCGTCGTCGTCGTATGGATTTCTTCGGCATCCGAGAATCGCTGGGATCGACGTCGGGAGAGCTGGACGAGCTCGAGTATGATGACTGTGAAGGGTTAGAGGTGTTTTGATCAGGGGTAATAAATCGTGTGGGCTCAAGAGGGGCCTTACTGGCAATGGCAGTCAGGACATCGAGAGCGGTAGTGGCAGTTGACAAAGGGGTGTACGTGTCGAAGAGCGGCGTTATCTGGCCACCTAAAAAGACCCAAACCCCCAGTACACAAGACACCACAAACGGGCTGGCAACAACACACACGAGCCACGACACAACAGCCACAACCGTCGCACCACAGGAGTACTGCCGCAGCCATGGCTCACCAGCACCGTACCGCTTCCCAGACACAGCGAGGAGCGAACACCGGACCGCAAACACCGACGTCCAAGCCAAGATCGAGAACGCCTCGCTCCGCTTCATAACATCCACGGCTACCGCGCTGGCCTCCTTCCAGCTTACCGGGTTGGGCTGTGCTAATGATGGGGTGTATTCAGCAGCCGCTGCGAGGTAGTAGAGGTTATCGGACATGCTGTACAGCAGGCCCGCGGCCCCGGAGAGGAAGATGGCGCCCGCATGGAGGGAGTAGTCGGCGAATGAGGGCGTCCATTTTGTTCGGAGGCCGAGTGTGGTTGGGACGAGCACGGAGAGGAGGGCGAGGGCGAAGAAGACGCCGGTTGTGGTCTAGAAGCTATTAGCCAATGAACTCGATCAACTCAGGGAGCATATGACAGGGAAATGAATGTACCGTGAAGGTGGTTTGTGAAACCCCAACTTGACTGTCAATACCAACGCCAAATGCCTGTGTTTGGGGCTCCATCTTGAGACCAATCGGGAAATGTATTAATTGACAAAACTCAAAAAACACAAAGGCATTCCCAGCGCGTGGCAGACCAGGCTCCCAAATATAAAAACGATTTCCTCCTCCGTCCCGGCATCTAAGCGTTGCATCCCTGCGTCAATGCACAGCATCGTATCGTCTCAACCTGCCTGCAGTCCAGCCCCATCATCCAAACTTAGGACAGGCGCTTACCGACTGCAGTGCAGTCCCTGGTATCGTAGCAACCTCGTCCGAGGTGAGACGGAGTTAACGCGGCACAGCCATCAGCCGTGCAACCCCGTTCCGGCTTGAGTTCACTCTTCTCCTCCTGTCGAAACACTGGCTTTTTGGTAGTTGCGGCGTAGCGGGCTTGGGCTTTCGTTTCCGGCTTTGGTCCGGCGCAGTGGCTTGAGTGCGTGCGAGGTGGTGTTCGCGATTGGAATTGTGGGTTGCGCGCCGCATCGCTTGGTTGAATGCCGCTGGGTCTCCGGCCGGGGCGTGGCACAGGGGGTTTGGAGTAGGGCTGGGCCGCGAGGACCCGCTGGGGCCCGGCGATGTGGGGGCTGTGTGATTCGGGTTTACAGGGGGTATTACATGTCGCAGCCGTTGATTGCTAGTTCAGAAAGAGCGATCGAACGAATTGTTGATGCCAATTCATCAAACATCAATTCACCGTTGAAAAAAACTATCATGACCTTCCCTTCATTCATTTACTTCACAAGTCGCAATCCATCTCACCTCACCTCAGCTCCCCATCTCAAAACAGTCTCACAGTCTGGAGCTCTGCCCCTCATGCGCGTGCTTCGCCCCCGACAATGCAACCGATTGCCGGACTGCGCCGTAAGCATGCGCCGCGACCAACCCAAGGCAGACAATAATATAAGCTTCACAACTACCCGCCCGGGAAAGGTTTCCGTCTCCTGTTGCGTTCATCGCTGTCGATCGTGCAGGCGCCAGTACTTGGGGACGGGGAAGATGGGGTTTGGTTCTCGGTTTGGACCGAGGAAGCACCGTCGTTGAACGAATCGAGTTAGTCGTAACTTACGATAGATCTAAACTGGGTGGTCGCGACACAAAGTAACGATGGATCGGGTCGATCTGCAGGGCCAAATATAGCAGGCCAGATATATCGTGGGTTGATCGACGGTTGGGTTTGATATATGTCGTCTCTGCCTGCTTTGTGCTAACGTTAAGTTTTCAAGCTAATGCTAGCCAGTGTGAACTGTGACATCTGATTCACTGGAGTCCACTGTTTACTTTGGCACTTCTCACTTTCGCTTCGATCGAGGATACCTAAAGGTACGGACTACAGAGCAACCGGGGGTACATTCTCTTCTCGTCCTTTTACGCCTGTCACGACCGTCCGTCCTCACTGTCTTTTGCGTCCGAGGATGCAGGTTTTGAGGGTCTTGGGTGCAAAATAGACGGACTGAGGAAGATGGCGTCGTTGCGTCAAAACATTGATGTCCGTACGGATAATTAGAAAGATGAATTTGTGGAACAACTATCAAACTGAATCCTCCACATCAATATCACCTGTCCACACCCCCATCTCATACAGTTGACTGATTCCCGTTCAGGGTGTGGCCGTGGTTCGTCAAACTGCCTCACTGTCCACCCACTCCCAGTTCTCAACCTTCTCGTACGACCTCGGCCAATACGTGATAGTTTCGTCTTTTCCATCCCGCCTGACCACCACTTCCATCATATTATCCAGCGAGTCCCCCGCCAACCAAGCCCCCCACATGCTCACAATCTCATCACCCACCCTCAGCCCAGCCTCTTCCGCCCTCGTCTTCTCCGCCGTAAACCCCGTCACCTTCCCCTGCGCCGACACAAACCCAAGCTCAAACAACTCAGCATCCCTCCTCACCAGCGTCAGCCCCAAATGCACAAACCCATCCACCCTCGGCACAATCAACGTCCCATTCAACATCCCGTTGATGCTCTGCTGCGCAGGCAGGCTACCCTCCAACACCGACCCCAACACCTCCACAAACTGCTCCGTTTGCACCGTATCCCCGGCCTTATACCGCCGATACAACTCCCGCACAATCAGGTCCAGTCCCTTCGCACCCCCCGTGGACCAGCTCACTAACCCCTGCACCTGCGCCAGATAGGCAAACCCAATCCCGTACGGCGCCTTCACGTTCTGCACACTTGTCCAGTAGTTATCGACTACCTCCTGCCAGGGAACCCCGGCCATCCCGCCGGTGTAGTACGCCTGCATGTTGTTGTTCAACCACCGGATCAAATACGCTTTGTCCACCGCCCCGGCTAGGTACGGCGCGATCACAGCATACATCTGCGCGACCCCCTCGCGATACCACAGATCATACTGTCGCGACGGGTACATGAGCGCGTATTCATGAATATTCTCATGCGACAGCAGAAAACTGGCCTGTTCCTCGGATTGTTCGGCAGCTGTACCATCCGACCATTCAAGCAGGAAGGAGTTGTACCCGCCTGCACCGCCGTAGCCGGCCGGAGCGTGGCGCCAGAAGACTCGGAAGGGGGGGATGGTGGTGTTGGGGATGAAGAAGTCGGCTATGGCGAGGTGCATGGATTGTGCGATGGTCGAGATGTGGGAGGGGTCGTAGGGGAGCGTGTTGAGCCAGTAGACGTGGAAGTCTGCCGCTTCCTCAACATCACCATTATCACCGCCACCACCATCCCTAGTAGCGGAGGAAGAAGAGGCCGAAGAATCATCCCAATCCGGCCACCTTCTCAACTCCTCCCCAACCGCAAAATAACTCTTCGCCACCACCGTCCTCGGCCAACCCACCACCCCGACCGTCTCCAACCCCTCTCCCAACGACGACACCGCCTTCACTTTCCCCTTCCCATCCCCATTATCAGCTCCCCCCTCCGGCAATATCCATCTCGCATCAATACTCCAATCCTCCTCCCCCGGCGGCAAAGCCAAAAACCCCGTCCCCATCCCCACCACGCCCCCCTCATCCCCCCTCAAATCCACCCTCGGCCCCGACGGCGTCGACTTATCCACTACCCTCGGCACAGCGGTAAACTGCACTGTAACCGGCCCTTGCGGGGCACGATCAGCGGGGAACCAAGTCCGCGTGGCGTCGCTGGTGTTGGTGTCTGTGGAGATGAGGGATAAAGGGCCGAGGGTGTCGGAGGCAGTGAGGAAGGCGGTGGGGTATTGTTGGGTTGGGGTTAGGCCGTGGTTTAGGTCTAGGTAGAGGAGGGGCGTGGTGAGATTGGGGGGGTTGGAGGTGGTGTGGTTGAGGAGGAGGGTTATGGAGAGGGAGGTGATGTTGAGGGTGGAGGGGGAGAAGAGGGGGGTGAGGGTTATTTGGAGGCTGGGGAGGGGGGTCGTGATGGCGGTTGTAAAGGGGAGGAGGAGGAGGGGGAGGAGGTTGGGTTTCATTGTTGTGGCCGGTTGGTTGGACGACCATGGGGATGGTGGTTTGGTGTTGAGTGTTGAGAGAGGGGTTGTTGTTGTATTATTATTTGGTTGAAAAAGACACGACTCAAAAAGTTGAGAACCGCTTGGCTTTTATATTATAAAGTCACAGGTTCGCTTAGATCTCAACGGTTTTTCGGGCTTCGTTTTCGGCCCCCAAAATCCAGGGCACGTAGGATTCAGGCAAAAGCCGTCTGTCAATTTCCTGTGCACCCTTTTCGATGCGTCTGTCCCGAATCGGATTGCTCGTGTTGCTATGGACATGACGGCATACCTTAAAAAGGAGTGCGCGAAAATAAAGAAAAGCTAAAATACAACAGGATCCTGACAAAGCATCAGCTACTTGAGTGCAGTCTTTACGAAATCGTGCCAGCATCTCGACGAGATCAGCGCCCAACTCGGCATGGGATTTGAGGAACGCTTTGAAGCCAGCATCTTTACACAACTGTCCCACCGAACAGGCCGCATACGTTGCAACTAGCGACCTCAGCTCTCCCGGCCGGGGTTCGGCGTAGCAAAATTCCAGCAGCCCAACGATGGCCTCCACGCTCACTTCGTCGGCGGGTTGATCCTTAGTGTTTTGGAGCTCTCGGCCTAGATGAAATAATGCCATCTTCGCGAGAATCGCAATCTGGTAACAGTCGGCGAAAACAAGGAGACGAGCATGATCCAGTAGGATCTTCGAAAATTCGGGTGTCAACACAGCAGGAACCATGTTCGGCGCTTCTGTATAAGAAGGTGGGCGGAAGCTCTCGACGACGGCATCAAATATTTTCCAGTAACTAGGCGTTCTTGCTGACTTGCTCCTCCCTTTATCTCTATGGTGGATGGATTGTTGTGACGTTTTCTTGCGTTTGTTGTTCGTTTGTAACTCGGAGCCGCCGCCAGAGTCCTTGGAGCTGCCGTCGAAGTCCTCGTCGCTTGCCGATTCCTGGGAAGCTCGAGAACATTGCGACGAAGGGAAACTCGGGTTGTAGTCGCCGGTGTATGCGTATTCCACAAACAAAGTGAAGTCTCCTCGTCGACATCTTCGAGCTCCGCCTGGTCCTCGTGCCCCTCTTTGAACTCGGTGCCGTTGACAAACACCGCTAGCACGGGATACATTTGGGTGATGATGGCCGCATGGATGTTGAATTCTTTCTTCTCGGGGCCGATGAGAAATCGGTACAACTTCGAGGCGGAAATCCTGGCGCAATACATTAATTAGTAGCTGACAATTTGGAGACTTTGCTTCGACAATCGGGAGTTACCTACGCTTTCCACGATCGTGCCTCTTCCATCTCGGATGGAGCTTTGTGGTTTCGGCGACGGCGTGTGCGATGTTATGAGGATTGGCGATGAGTTGTGGATGCGGTGTGTAAACAGAAAGGCAACCGAAAAAACTTTTCAGGATTCAGTCTTGGGTAAGTGGGGGTGATATCCCTCGTGTGCACAGGAAGGCAGGAGGCAAGACCGATTTCAAGTCGTCCCGAGTATCCTCAGGCAACAAACATCCGTATGCGAATGTAAAGGAGAGCGGGATGGTCTCTGTGGCTACGCCCAATATCGGTAGCAGCACCGTGACAGCTATTGCTGCACAGCAGCCAAAAAAAACCCTGCGGGGATGATATAAAATGCGTCGGAATGCTAATTACAAGCCCCCGTATTTTACAAGCTGTGAATGTGGGAACTGATAGTCTGATATAAGGTAATACGGGAAGTAAGTAAGATTCCAAATCCAACAAAGCCTCAGCTACTCCTAAGTCGTTTCGCCATCTCCCCAACTAACTCAGCGCCCAACTCGGCATGGGCTTCGGGAATTTCCCTGAAACTCCCATAGATCCACAGCTTGTCCACTTTGCGTGACACATCCTGGACTAAAAGCGACCGTAATGCCTTCGGGCGCGGCTCTTGATAAGCGTAGGCTAAGAGAGTGATAGTGACGTCGACACTGATTCGGTCGAATGGCTTCTGCTTAAGGGCACCTAATTGTTTCTCAAGGTTGTCATGCGCTATCTGGGCAAGTCGAGAAATCTGGTAGCAATCTGCAAAGACATACAAGCGTGCGTGATGGAGCAGGGGCCGCGCAGTATTGGCAGTTGGGTCAAACATGCTGGCGGTGGTGTCGCTGCTGTCGCTACCGCTGCCTTGAGGGTCATCTTCGAGCCCCGGTTCTGGATCCCGAAAGAGCTGGGACATCAAACTGTCGTCTGGCGGCGGTTGAGAAGGTTCCGGGGTGGGGGTTTCCTCATCCTCCCAGATCCCCCGGTAAGACGAGCCACGGTTCACGGGACTGTGAAGAGCCGCGAGAGCCACCTCCAAACCGGGTTTTCTTCCCGTAACGGGGTCCATTCCGTGATCCGGGAAGTCGTAGTCCCCTGTATACACATATTGAACAAAGGACGCGAAAACTCCCTCATCCACTTCTTCGAGCTCGGCACAGCCGTCGTTGGCCTCCCTGAACGCCGTGTTGTTGACCAATGTATTGAACGCGTCTGACTGCCCCTCGACAACGGCAGAATGGACGGTGAACTCGCGCTTCGACGAGCCGATCAGAAAGCGGTACACCTTGGATGTCGAGATACTAATTATGCAGAGCGGTTAGCAACGTCGGGTTAGTCATCTGACACTGGAGCCGTTGATAAGTTGATGGTACTAACTCTTTCCAAGTAACCACTCCCATGTTGAGGTGCTTCAAAGGCGGTCTTGGAAGGCTACTTGAAGTGTGGTGATGATGTTGACAGCTGGTTCATTCTAAACCAGAGTGGTTGTTAAGGAAAGGACAAGAAAAAGGGAGGATTGTAAAGCAGAAGTTGCAGAACTTTATCGAGGCACAAACGATGAAGGGAGTGATTTATCTGTTTGATGATTGGATGCCCGCATGTGAGCCCAAACGGCACCGTGCATGGAAGCCGTGAGGCCTACAACGGAGCTGTTTGTTCGCAGATTGGGGGCCTGGCTTGCACTTAGATCAAGTGATTAATTCTTGTATAGTTACGTACTAATGTAGCCCTGCGTTTTGAGATGTGCCCTTCGACCTTTTTATCGTACTTATCGCAAAGCTGCATCCCATACAGCAAGCCTAACCCTGACAGTACTAATCTCTCCCAATTTCTCTGGAAGACGAGGGTAGGAGGGTTAGGGTATCGCCCTCCACGCGCAGTTCCCATACAAAATGTTATTACCTTAGGCGTGTGATGATAGGTAACGTTATAGCTGCTTATATAACTCCGTCCGTGCTTGCTCTCGTGTTAGCGTCCGAAATCATCGAGACCTCAACAGAGGCTATGCCATCACCGCATAAAGATTGAGGCTATTCCGTTAATCATATGCAACGAGAGGACATTATATTTCACAGTTGGTCATTTTGAAGTCTTCTTTCAACATCATGGAGCCTTTATGTGGCGCATAGACCATCTGCTCTTGTATTGTACAACGTCGTTATGAGGCCCTCGTGCCGAATATTATCGAAACCGTCGCGAATAAGCAGCGCTGATCTTCGACTCTCCATTCACCCACGTTACCGCTAACGCTAATGCTATTGCAGTCAATCCACCCAGAAGATGCACAGACTCGTCACCATGATGGGCCATGGTTAATGTGGAGGGCGGAAATGTTGGTGGTGTTGGGGGTGAATTTCTGCGCATCCTAAGGTTGTCGATACGTCTATCGCAAACAGCTCGAGTGATGACGAGCGGTGGAATCACTCATACTAATAGTTTTAGACGCTACGGCATTGGCTTAACAAGAACACTCGGCAAAATCGAAGAAAATAAAAGTAGCCCTGACAAAGCATCACTAAAATTTATTCATTCGTTTCACCATCTCCTCAACTAGATCAGCGCCCAGCTCGGCATGGGCTTTGAGTAACGCTTTGAAACTAGCATCGTTCCACAACCGTTCCGCTGAGCAGGCTGCATATTTTGCAACTAGCGACCTCAATTCCTCCGTCCGAGGTTCTTCATAGCAAAATTTTAGCAGGCGGACAATGCCCTCCGCGCTCACTTCCTGTGTGGGTTGTTGTTTGGTTTCTTGGAGTTGTCGGCCGAGACTGAATAATGCCATTTTCGCGAGCCGTGGGATTTGGTAACAATCTGCAAAGACGTAGAGGTGGGCATGATGCAGCAGGATCATCGGAACATCAGCTGTCAACGCAGCTGTACCTGTGCTCAACGCTGGCGTATAAGAAGGTGGGTGGTGGCTTTCGACGATGGCGTCAAATGTTGCCCAGTGATTGTACCCGCAGTTGCACGCCCTTCCCCACTGACCTATAGGAGACACCTGTTGCTGTGGTTGATTCCTGCGTCTGTACAGTTTGTTGTTCCTCGGTGACCCGAGGCCCCAGTCGTCGTCTTCTCTCGCCACTTCCTGAGGAGTCTCAGGGCTCTGTGACGAAGGAAAACTTGGTTTGTAGTTGCCGGTGTACGCGTATTCCACAAACGAAGTGAAAGTTTCCTCATCGACGTCCTTGAGATCCGCCTGGCCCTCGTTTGCCTCTTTGAACCGTGTGTCATTCACAAACACTTCTAACACGGGGGACAATTTGGTGATGATGGCCGTGTGGATGTTGAATTCTTTTTTCTCGGGGCCGATGAGAAATAAATACAACGGGGATGTGGATATCCTGCGCGTAGTAACGTTAGCTGGTACGAATCTAATGACTTTGCATCGATGGTCGGGAGTTAGGTACGTACTCTTTCCAAGACCGTGCCTCTTCCATCCTGGAGGGTTTGTGAAAGATGCTAGGGAATGTTTCGGTCACAGTGTGTGTGATATTACCAGGAATGGCAACGGATTGTTCATGCGTTGGGTGGTTGAAGAGGAAGACAGCAAGGAAGGGTTTCCGGTGTTCACTTTTGGGTGGTGGCTGGCCAAATATGCTCGGCATGCAAACTAAGATGGCCCTCCCAATTGGCCGCATGCATCAAGAGGTGACAAACACTCCCGCGAATGGGAAAGAAGCTGCATAGCCCCTGTGGTGAGGCCTACCGTTGGGCTGCGACAGACACTGCTGAACAACAGCCCAGTGGGAGGCGAGGAAACCGCTTTGGATGTGGGGGAAACATCGGAATGTCGGAAGTCTACGTGTTTCACAAGCTGGGTAATGAATACCTGATCCAAGGATGCCTCGTACGGGATTCCTGAATGGCTGTCGCTCAGCGAAGGCCAGGTGGGATACTTAGGTACCTAGTACCTATTTGATTAATCTCGGGGTTACCCTCTTACCTTTAACGATGCTAGTTCTCATGACTGGGCACCAACAGAGGTTCTGACGCGAGAAGCCCGGGCAAGCATTGGGCTTAGATTCAAAGCGTCTTCCAACTTCAACCTTTAATTACTCCAGATTGTACTTGTAGTCCTATCCAGGGGTTGTATGACGTCATAGTAGGTAGTTGTGTTTTAATTCATATGTGCTGGGAGACTTGACTTGTAAACTCGGGCGGAACGGATTGGGATAATTAAAAACTTACTTTAGCGACTGAGAACATGCCAGGATTTGAGCACCCAATAGAGCGGAGGTGGTGTTCTACTGAGGATGTGCGCAGTGGAACTGCGAATGGAGATTGTTTTAATTATGACAAACAAATAATCGGAAATCCCTACCTACCTAGGTAATATAGGCCACATCTAATCATGGCTGTGATGACACAGCATTAATTAGGGTCCCGTCCTCGATTCCAAGCCGAGACCGCATTTACGTTGAGGTATTGTCTCAGTACTGTCCTTTTGCTATAGCCTACGCATGACCTGAATTGGATCTTGTGCTGAGGAAAGTCGAGCGATGGAACCGGTCGCGGACAAGCAGCGCCGATCTTTGACTCTACATCCGCTAACCCTATTGCAGCCAATCCACCCACAAGATGCACAATTACATCACCATAGTGGCATTTTTCCAACGGCTCATTCAGGTTTTCGGACGGGAGAGTGTCCGGTGTAAAGTCAGATTCCACGCCAAATGTAAAATGACTGGTAACGCAGGCCGAGGTAGGGAGTCAAGCCCGAGCGAGGAACCAGGAACCACTTCCTTACATCGGTTTAAGAGAGTTGATTTCCCTGCATTCCATCGATCCTCTCCTTGTACTCTTCCGAAATACATGTATCTCATCTGCACGTTGGGAGTTCATAATTTGAACCACTTCGCCTCTCACTTTGTCACCCACCAAAAGGGAGAAGTGGAAAACAACCCTTAAGAGAATCAACTCCAAGCCACCCTCTACACTCTCAACCCAAACCACCATGGCCCCTCTACCAACTCCCACCACCACCTTCCAAACCCACCATCACCCTTCCCCCATACTTCCCGTCCACCCTCGACAAGCAACCATAACTGTCACTCCCTCCCCCTCTGCAAACTCTGACACCTCCTCCCCCACAGACGCCAAAACCCTCTCCGGCGGCGCCATCGCCGGCATAGTAATCGGTTCCATAGCCGGCTTCCTCCTCCTCCTCTGGATCATCCGCTCCTGCACCAACCTCGGTGCACCCCCCGGCGAAGCCGTCCCCGGCCGGCCGTGGTATGGGAGTGTGCGGGGTGAAGGTCCGGTGAGAGAGGTTTATGAGGGGAGGAGGAGTCGAAGTGGGAGTCGTGGAAGGAGGAGGGAGGGGTATCGGGGGGGTAATTATGAGCGTGGGTATGGGCATCATGGACATCGTCATCATCACAGGCACCGGTCGGGGTCGAGACAAGGGGAGTTTGTTGGGCCGGTCGTGCAGGAGGCTGTGCCCGCTGTGGTGGTGCGGGATGAGGCTAGGAGGAGGAGCCGGAGTCAGGGGTATTATGGGGAGGGGTATGAGTATTGGGAGAGTGGGCGAAGTAGGAGTCGAGGGGGGTATTAAGGGGGATTGAGGAGAGGTGGTTGGGATTGGATATGAGGGGCTGCGGTGTTCGTTGATGGTGTTTGGGACCGGTTGGGTTATAGACGTTAAACTCCGATAATAAGTTCAGGCGGGAAGCAAATCGTGTTTTCGCGTTGAGGGCAGTCAGCAGAACAGCAGAGCACTCCATCCGAGGTAAAATAGCGCCTTGGGCGACAAGCCTTAAATGAAAAATCCCGTACCTGCCCTCCCACCGGCATATATATATTAGGTCCAACGACCCAGTTTCTAACCCGCCTGTCAATGGGGCTACAAACCGACCACACCGGTGGTGAGTTTGGCTCAGGCGTCGCATCATTTAATTCCCTGACGGGGTTAAATCTTGAGCGTGGAAAAGTTGGCAGGCACCCGCCCTCATTGCACGACCGAGGGAAGAAGGCATGGGTTCGAACCGAACGCGAAGCAAAAGTCCCCGGCTGACATACTTAAGGCCCTGGGACTTTTCGTAACCATCAGATTTACCTCTACTGGTCGGTGTAACAGTAGGGCTGGGTGGTGAGCTTTTGCTATGTTGGTCTTTCTTATTTTTTTTCGAAATGCAAAGCTGACAGGCAAGCAAAGCTGACAGACAAGTATAACCATAGCGCCTTACAAAACTCCAATGACAACTAATTAACACCCGTGATTATCGTTTCCTCACAGCATACACTCGATTTCCTGAAATTCCTCATGCGAGTGGGGAGCCGTTCGTTAGTCCCTATCCCAAGCCACCCAATCTAAATGAGACATCAACTGGGCTGAGCTGGGTAGGTTACGTAGCCAGTAGCCTTGTCTGCGTCTGATTTCTGAGGGGTATCATGGTTGGGTCGGCGCCCATCATCTTCGTTCCCTATTCATCACAAATTCAGGCAAGGTCAAGCCGGGTTTACTTTAACGCAGTTTGCAGTGTCCAGCGGTGAATCAATTGTTGACTTGTGAGCCTACATTCTCTGATCTTAGCCGTGGTTATGGGTCTCGCAGGCGCCCATGTTACCTCCAACGGCTGCCCCGGCTGGGGCTTCTTGAAATTAACCTCAATAACATTCAGCGGCGGGAAGCGCTCCCGGCCAGTCAAGCCAGCTGCTTTTTGTGCGTCCGCGGCAGCTTTCCACGTCGAGGTGGTGTACGCGATAAACTCCCGCCGGCCGATAGCCACAAAGTTCAGTCCCGTCAATTCGACTTGGTTGTCAAACAGTGCCTTGCCGGCTATCTTGCCAAGGAAATACCAAAATACGCTCGGAACGTACCAGTCGTATTGATAGCCGATGTATTTGAAGATTTGCGTCTGTCGAGTAATGGTCACTCTGCCGTGTCCAGTCAGTTCAACGTCATATTCATATCTCCGAACGCGTTGTCACGCGCTTGACAACTTACTGAATCACGACATGAGTAACGGCGCTCCTGTCAAAGTTATTCAGTGGATTTTGTGTGGCCGGGGTCGCGCGGACCTTTGGAATGGGGGCATCAATGGCGGCGCGGTCAGGTACTCCTCGTGTAATCGTGCGAAGGGTAGGGTCGACCTCCACATGAGGGGGCCGGATGGGTTCTATGGGAATGTCCATGTGGTCCATATTGGGAAGATGCAGTCTCCGTGGAATCGCAACACGTTCTTCGGTGAGCTTCGCTGCATGGGATTAAGATGGCGAAGGGCAATGTCACGTGGGAAACCCATGTACGCCACCTCTCATCGTTGACCCACTGTGATTGGATAGAAACCTTGTGATGCCGTTGCCGCCTGACAAGCGCCTTGCTTTGGCCAAAGGACGCCAGATCAAAACAGATCAATCCGACAACATTCGATCAAATCTTAACGGATCTTGACGATTGGAACTAGGATAACTTTTGTGAGGCCTAATATCTATATTATCTTGATATTGTTGTTCAAAGCCTTGTTTTCAACCACTGATAGCTTGATTTATTCTTTTTTCTCTTCTGTCCCTTTTGTAGAAAAGTGGGGCGTCCAGGGACTTGGTCTCTCGCTTTTTTTGGCCACAGTGAGAAGCGCCTACTGAGCGGGTATGCTCCGACCTTCAGGCAGGATGTCGCCAATAACGGTAGAAGCCGCCGCACCTAGGCGCGATCGCTGCCTCTAACTTACCTAGTTTCGGCCATGACCTTGTTTCATAAAAGCCAACGCCGCCCCGGGTGAACTATGTAGCCACTGACGCCCACGGATTTCGCGCTCAATTTTGCCTGGCTGAGGCTGCAAACGCTCGCAATGTGGGCACTACATGCGACTTTCCGGATTGTTTGGCCAGCAGTGAGTTGATCAACTGGAATTTACTGGCCGAATTTCCTGGCCGTTGGGCTGATCACATGCGGCCTCCATGTCGAATTTAGTGCAGTTACTGGGCGCCTATGTCTACACCCAATTTGGGCTTCTGTGTACTGCCGCTACTGCGTACCCGGAACATGGTTACCGCCCGTACGGTGAATTAGCCCTATGCGCTGGCACACACATTGAAAGGTGAACTACCTAGCGAGAACCTGAGGGGTAGCGAAGTAGGTAATCAGGTTGGCCATGGCCCAAAGGCGAAAGCGTCCCTAGGTTTTGGCATAAATACACACATGTTCTCCCCCAGACACCCCATGGCCTCTAGACTTCCTGTCTCTCACTATCAACGCATCATCTACACCGCTAATCAGGCCTCCTTGTCCCTCATCGCCTACAGTTGCTTCGCTTCTCACCTTTGCTCCCTCCAAACGTTAATCGATTACTCTGGGCTGAAAATTCCCCCCGAGTTTTGCCAGCGGTAAGAGACCCCTCCCGTCGGAAATTGTTCCGAAGTGTGCAACGATGGCGATGGCCTCCATGCTGTTGAAAGTATAACATGATTAGCTGATTAACCAGTTGTGAGTGTCAGATCATGTGCAACCATCTCCAGTACTACTACACCGAGTGTGGACATTGGTGGACCGTTAAGAAGATTCAGTGTGCAGAGAAAGCACCTGAAGGACCGCTTGAATCATGCGACCGTCCAACATGGGGCATCACACGAGATAGGGAGCCCAGGGCGGGTAGCCGTCAACGCTGCTACCTTCCGTCTCCGTCGGATTCGGAAGATTCAAATTGATCGGGGGCTGATGGAGTTAAGGGGCTTTGACAATTGTGTCGTTAGGTATTCAGCGAGGGAATGTTGAACAGGATGGAACGGTCGGGTTGGAAACGCGAAGCATGTATCTTTTCAGTTTCATTGCAAAGGGAGGTGGTCTCTCCCATTCAACGCCAATGTGCTGTAAATTATGTGACATGCAGTCTCACTTCTCAGTCCACCTCTTCTCTGTTCCTCTCAACTGTTTTCCGCTTTCTTGAGTGTTAATTACATCCCACTTCTAGCCCGCTAATAATAACTCACTTCGGCTGTGTATAATCTTTCAGTACATGTGGAGTGAGAAACTTTGACGCGACAATTGGACTGTTGGACATGCTGAACAAAGGAGCCCAATATTTGGGACAACGCTAACCCAAACGCACCTGAGGTGACCAGATATATAACTCAAACAGATCCATTCCAACAGGGAACAAAAGATACAGGAATAAAATGATTGATTCTCCCGAAAGGCGGTTTTTCCCAAACGTTGGATTGATTAAGTATAACTAACAACTAGAAAAGCTGCTTTTGTCTCACAGCATAAAAGGGTCCCACTTGCTGCTGCAATTAACGATTGTCTTTTGCAACACCAAGTCTGCTATAGAATGTGTGTTTTCATAGTCGCCTAAGACTTGGGTGCCAAAAGAAGGTCAATTACAGCTGGCTCCATCAGACGTGAATACTCCTACTTTCGCCCCAACCCACCGCGACTTCGGCGGAATTTAGCAGATTGATGATAACCCGCCGTGCATTGTGCTTGGCACGACAGGTTGCTCCACTCCGTTTCGGTTCCGCTACCACGCCGTCGGGCATCTGACCTTTGCGATACATATGCAGCCCGGCGGCGGAGGGTTTACAATCCCGCTGACTAACCCTATAATCTTTTGAAGGTAATTGAGGTTTGACTTCATTCCAGAGGCAAACCTGGTGTAGTTATGAGTCCATAGTGAGAGGATGTCATAAATGTCCTTGGAGATTATGACGTTGGTCAAATTTTCAATTGATTGAACGGTAAATGCTCAAACGGGTTGAGTTCTCGCTGTCAAGAACCTGAGTCGCCGCTTCCTTCGTCGCCAGTGTGCCGTGTGGTTGGTTTCAAAAAGGGTTAGGGTGAACGCCTTCTGGTCAGCACAAACTTGAGATGCTCCGACCCCACCACATGAGTCACCCGACGTCGGAGTGCAGCAACAAAATATTGGACGACTCAGCGGAGCCCATAGAAAAACCAAGCTTGGCAAGCGCAGTTTGCTTCCTGCCGAAGGTCTCACCAAACTAGACAAAAGGGCAAGAGGCACCAGGGTCTCACCTTCCCAACCCGCATTCTTCCCCACCACTACTTTCCCCCTCACGGCTTCTTCTGTTGCCAAATTGAACCCACCATGGCGGCTCAGAAAAAACTCGACATCCGTCCAACAGCGGCCGAAGCCAAGACGTTGGTTGAGCAAGCGGCTGTTGCGAACCCCCAGCCCACGTTGCTGCCGATTTGCATTACAGTACCCTCGGACCTCCTAACGCCGTCGGCCACGTACTTGAAGCTGTCGAATGGGTAGGGGAAATCAATCACAAGTTATAGGGGGCAATTGGCTGATTTGCGCAGCGCTACGGCCGAGTATTCATTCTTGCTTGAAAGTGCCACTGGGGCTACCGAGACCGTGGGGCGATACAGTTTCATTGGAGCTAGTATGTGGTTTGTTCTGCGCGATATGGGATTGTCATCACATGGTACATTTCTCTAACCCATGCAGATCCAAGAAAGGTAATTGCCACCGGGCCAGGTTATGAGGATGTCGGGGACCCGCTCCGCGCTCTTGAGACCCAACTTGGCCAAGATAGGGTAATCAGCGTGCCATCACTCAAGCTGCCCATCTTGACCGGGGGTGCTGTTGGGTACATCTCCTACGACTGCATCAAGTACTTCGAGCCCAAGACGGCTCGCCCACTCGACGACAACCTGCACATCCCCGAGGCCTTGTTCATGCTTTTCGACACCATCGTCACATTCGACCACTTCTTCCAGGCTCTCACCCTCGTTACCCATATGCGACTGCCCGAGGACCCGGCCGACTTCCAGTCCGCCTACGACGAGGCGTGCGCCAACCTCCGTGCAACACTCGCCACGATCCAGCAGCCCGAGACGCCGCTTCCACCAAAACAGGAGGCGGATCCGTCGACTTCCCAGCAATACGCCTCGAATGTCGGCCGCCATGGCTACGAGTCCTTTGTCACCAACCTCAAGTCGCACATTGTCAAGGGTGACATCATCCAGGCTGTGCCATCGCAGCGCTTCTCGCGCGGTACTTCCCTCCACCCATTCAACATCTACCGCACGCTGCGCACACTGAACCCATCCCCGTACCTCTTTTTCCTCACCTGCTCGGACTTCCACATCGTCGGAGCGTCACCCGAGTGTCTGATGAAGACAGACGGGTACGCACCCCTGCCGGTAGACGAACGGTTCGAGTACTCGGCCGCGCGGCGCCCACGGATCGTCAACCACGCCATCGCCGGCACGATCAAGCGGGGCCTGAACCCGGCCGAGGACGACGAACTGGCGGCCGAGCTGCAAGCCAGCACCAAGGACCGCGCCGAGCACGTCATGCTAGTCGACCTTGCGCGCAACGACGTCAACCGCGTGTGCCACCCGTCCACGGTCAAGGTCGACCGGCTGATGCGCATCGACCGGTTCAGCCACGTGCAGCATCTCACCAGCGAGGTATCTGGTCTCCTGCGTCCCGAGTGCACCCGCTGGGACGCCATGCGCAGTATCTTCCCCGCGGGTACCGTTTCCGGTGCGCCCAAGATCAAGGCGATGGAGCTAATCTACGACCTGGAGAAGGAGAAACGCGGGATTTACGCCGGTGCAGCAGGTTGGTTTGCGTACGACGTCGTGCGTGTAGAGACAGACAAGAAGTCAGGCGAGCGCAAGGTGTTTGTGGAGGAGGGCCAGATGGACACGTGCATTGCGATCCGGACGATGCTTGTCAAGAAGGGCACGGCGTATCTACAGGCCGGCGGTGGTATCGTGTTTGACAGCGAGAAGACGGAGGAGTGGATGGAGACGATGAACAAGCTCGCGGCTAACTTGCGGTGCATTGAGTTGGCGGAGCAGTATTATGGTGATGGCGCGGGCACGAAGTCGGTGCAGGAGATTATTGAGGAGGAGAGGCAGAAGGGGGATGAGTTTTACCGGCTGCAGACTCTGGGCGCCGGGGCGTAGTGTCGGGGGCATAGCTGCTTTTGGGAGGGATATTTGTTGGGAGTTCCGTGGAAAATTGGTCAGTTGGATTGCATTTAAGGAATTGAGTTACTAAATCACATGCACTCTCTCACCCAGTCCTACCTCTCTTAACCTGACAAGCCGTTTTAATCATCAACACAAACAAACACGAGCATCAAGAACCCGGATTCAAGAAAACCACTTCTTGACCTCCTCCACACACGCCATCGCCATCCCCGCAAACCCCTGCCCCACGGCCTGCGAAAAGAACATGGCCATCTTCCCCGCGATGCCAAACCATTCCCAGAACCGGCCGCCCTCGGGTTTCGCGCCGACATCCTCCATCCACTTTGTCTGCGCGGCTACGGCTTTGTTGTCGTTGTCCTTCTCGTTGTCGTCGGCCCTGTCTTTGTTTTTGACGTTAGCCACGACGGTTTTGCTGCTGCTCTTGCTACTGGTAATGGTGGTGTCGCTGGCGGGGACGGATACAGGAATCAACGCACCGTCGTCCGTGCCGGGCGTGTATAGGTTATTGCTTGACTCGTCATCATCATCATTGTCGTCCCGTGTCGGAAGAGTAACAACCACAGCCCGCCCGTTATCAATCCCCACCCTCGTCCTGGTCATATCCCCTGCCTTCAACACCTTCATAGCCTGGGTCTCGCCGAGTGGAGTGAACTCGTCCATTTCCTGCTGGATTTGGAGGCGAGCGGGCGGTTTGGAGGTGCTAGCGTATCGGCGGTGAATCATGTCTTTGGCGCGATCGCAACGGAGGCCGGGGTCTTCTTCCACGTCGAGGGGTTCGAGAGTCGTGGCGCTGACGATGGGGGTGGGTTGGTCGAGAAGGCCGTGGTGGTAGATGTGCGCGCCGACGTAAGGAGGGTGAGGGTAGAAGAGGTTGGAGAGGCTGTTGTTGCTGGGAGTGGTGCCAGTGCTGGAATCCTCCTCGGCATAGGGGTCATTCTCTGCACCCTCGAGGAGGGCATCAATCCGTCCTTGGGCTTTCGTAACAGCCTTGGGGGAGAGTTTATCCCACTTGGTAATGACGACAGTGATGTTGCGGAAGAAATCCGGCCCACAGAAGCATTGCAACCAGCGGATTGTGCGTTCCTCGTCTTGGCCGAGCCGGTCGGAACCGGCGTCGTAGACGAAGAGGGCGCCGGCAATGGTGACGAAGGGGCCGAGGACCATGAGGCAGCTTGCGATGTCTTTCATGGTTTCTTCGTTATTCATGTCGGCGGCGCCGAAGCCGGGGGTGTCGATGAAAATGTATTTCTCGTCGTGGATGTAGCCGGGGCAGATTTCGTAGTTGCGGGTGCCTGGGGTTACCTTTTGTGAGCTTTTTGTCGGCTTCTTCTTTTGGGAGTAGGGTTGACGACTAAGAAAGGTTGGTGGTATGGACATACCGGAATTGAGAGTGTTGCCGACCTTGACGTCCATGCCAGTCAGTTCCCTGAGTAGGGTGGATTTACCCGCGCCGGTCTTGCCAAAGACGAAAATGAGCTTGGTTTCAAGCAGACTGACATTGCGATGTTAGCGGTCACACCCACGCGGCACTGCACATCGGATTGGAACGTAATTACTTGTTCTTGATGAAGTCAACAACGACCTCTGTCGCGCGGCCCTTGGCCGAAGTCACCATCTTCTTGAGGTCGAGCAATTCCCAGAGCCCACCGCGTCCGCGGCCCTCTCTTTTTGGCTCGTCCTTCTCGGATGTTCCACGCCTCATTGTCACGGATTCTTGTGTAGTGGCTGGCAGTCAAATGGTGTCAGTCAGTTTCCGATCTTGGGTTTGCGGACCAAGTGCCGTTACTTACCCGACTTTTGAGCTTCTTGTAACCTCCTAGCACGCTGACGTCTCTTTGCCGCCCTTTTTATGGGAATAACGAGTTGGCGAACTGAGCTTGTCGAGAGAAAGGTGCTGTCACTGCCCAGATGAGGAAAACGAGAAACGATGAGTTTGACGGAGGACGAGAGTTTAATTATACCCAGTCCGACATCGAACGACTTCCCCAGGAGCAAACGAAGAATAGCGGGGTCGCATGGCATGTTGCAGAACCGGCATGCATCTCCCCTTGTTGGCCTCATTGCTGCGCTTGCTCTGAGTCGCTGGACTGACTGTTTGGTCGCGGAATACGGCTGTGTTGAGGCCTACAGCAGCAGCGTGCGATTCATTGGTTGTCCTGGGAGGAGTTGCAAACGAAAGGTGAGCGCATCGCCCTGGTTGCGTCCGTTTGCATCTGTTGGGTCTGTATGGCCTTCAAAATATCCGTGACTGTGCCACCGCATCCGGCGTACATCACGGATAAGTGTGAAGAGAACCTTGGTGATGCGTACCGTCGCCGCCCGCATGGGACCGGCCTTGCATACCAGTGCCATTAGTATCAGCGTGGTGTGGATGGGGATGTGGATTGGGTTGTTATGATGTGAATATGCAGCCGAGCGACCGCGTAATTTGCGTTGAGTGGGGATTTGAGACACCACGTAACGGCAGGCTATTGACCATTAGTATCGGAGTGAAGCAAAGAAGGCTAGGAAGGACGGAGGGAGCGCCTTGGATAGTTGAAGGATGGGATGGACTACCCGGGCACTACGGCACATAACGCGACGGTTTATCTCAGATTTTCAGGGGCGCGAATATGAGGTTCACTCTCACATCCAATTTAATTCCCATAACGGAGTGAGAATACGGACAGGATCATGGAAGAGTTGACGAAAACTATCAACTAGGCCCTAACCATTGGGAAGGAATGTCCATGTATGTTGGGTGTGTTACGTTCCAGAGGAAGGACCACCAACCACAACACGCAAATAGAAAGGGCCATCAACTCCAACGCCAAAAACAGAAGGCACCATCGGCCAAAAAAAGGAGATAGAGATGTTAGATGTGTTTTCCGGCCACAACACCACATTAGTACGCACCTTACTGCAAGTGAGACGATGGATGATCATATCGATACAATGTCCCTGGTCTGAACCGTTCTCTAAGACGTGATATCTTCTCCATGGGCGCCCGTAAAAGGGGCATCGGGCCTTGGGAGTTGAGCTCGGGGTTGGTTTCAGGGTTAGGGTATTTCGAATCGGACACGGGACAACTCGAGCTCGGACTTCCGAGGCCTCACATAACCCTGATCTCGGAGTCGCACAACCCTGAGATCGCGGCTAGCATAACCCTGATCGATCGACAACGAGGCGAAAATCGCCCGGTTCTCAACTACAGCTGAACTCCACCGAGATCTTCCGGCGGGTTCATAAAATCTCAAAAATCCCCTTTTCACAACGCTGACATCAATCTCTCGTTTATCACCGCATAATTACTCAAGCCTAAACTAACAACATGACGCCCACCCTCGTGTTCATCCACGGCTCATGGCACACAGCCTCCTGCTTCGACAAACTCACAACCCACCTCCAAACCACCCACCACCTCCCCAGCGTCTCCGTCTCCCTCCCCTCCAACAGCGGCGACCCGAACCTGGGCATCGACGCCGACATTTCCGCTGCCCGCGCCGCCATAACCGCCGAAACCAACCGCGGCCGTGATGTCATCGTCGTAGTGCACTCCTTTGGCGGCGTCGTCGGGTGTAGCGCTATCAAGGGACTCGCTGGTCGACCTCGCTCTGATACCATCCCCGGAAGCACCACCGACCAAGGAGAGGAAGGCAAAGAAGGCCACGTAATAGGCCTAATAGCCATAACAACCGGTTTCCCCCTCACGGGCGTAGCCTTCATGGCCCCCCTCCTCGGCCTGCCCCTCCCCTTCTTCCGCATCAACCACACCACCGGCTTCGCCGACCTCACCGCTTCCCCTTACTCCCTCTTCTACCACGACATCACCCCGCGCTCCGAAGCCGATTACTGGGTTAGTCAACTCCGACCGCAAAGCCTGAAGGCGCTGTATGAGGGCGGGGAATATGTCTATGCCGGGTGGAGGGAGATGACGGGGGGACGGGTGTGGTATGTGAGTGGGGGCGATGATAGGGCGATGCCGCCGGTGGGACAGAGGGTGGTGGTTGGGTTGGCGAGGGGGATGGGGGTAGGCGTGGAGTTTAGGGAGATTGGGGGGGCGGGGCATTCGGTTTTTTTGAGTCGGGTTGAGGAGACGGCGGGGGTGGTGGTGGAGGCTGTGGAGGCTTTTACGGGACGGGAGGTGGTCGGTGGGGGGGAAGGGTTGAGGAGGAGGTTGTTGTAGGGGGAGTTTGGGGGGACGGTGGTTGTTGGGGGCGTGAGGTGGGTGAGGCCGTGGAGTTGGGTCAAGTATGGGCTGCCGATGGGGTTTGGGTGGGTGGTGGGCCGGGGGTTGTTGGGGTGGGAGTGGTTGAGGGGGTTGTGGAGGTGATTGAGGGTGAATAGACATGGAAGGTAGGATGTAGAATGGGGTTGTTGATATTTTGATGTGTAATTACCTAGGTAAATACCGTCTCGGATTCAGGGGTTCGTATTTTGCTGTATTTCTGTATTTAATTACATTGTTTGGGTTCAGCCTTAGACAGTTAGATAAACCGCCGGGCATATTCCACCAACGCCATAATGGCCATGGCCTGTCCATACGGCATACTTGTCACCGGAATATCCTTGTAATGCTGCAAATCCCTTCCCATGCCCGTCCCAAACGACGTATTCAACAACTCCCCCTCCTCACTCACATTCGCCAGCACCCCCTTGACAGCCCTCACAGCCATTTCTTCTAGTTTCTCCCTCTCCGGCCCGACCAAATCCCGCTTCCTCAACCCCTTCAACACCCCAAACGCAAACCCCGCCGTAGCGCTCGCCTCCAGATACGACCCCTCTTCCTCGGACACATCCAACAGCGTCCGCCACAGCCCCGTCTTTGGATCCTGCAACGGCCGTAACGCCTCACACTGTTCCCTCAGCGTCCCCTGCAAAAAGCTCTCCAACACCGGATCCTCCGCGTTCCCCTCCCGCAACAACTCCAAAAACTCCGGAATCGCCACCGTTACCCAGCTATTCCCCCTGGCCCACCTCGCCTCCGCAAAATGATGCCCCCCAACTCCCCCTTTCCCGCCGTCTTTCCCTTCAACGTCGGCGTTAAACTCCCATCCATGAAAAAACAACCCCGTCCTCACATCCCCCAAATACCTGACATGCAGCAAAAACTGCCTCTTGGCCTCCTCCACATACCTCTTCCGTCCCAACACCAACCCAATCTTCGCCAGCGGCAACACCGTCATCATCAACGTATCATCCCACAACTGCCCCCTATTCTCCTCCAAATACGTAATATGCTGCATCCCCCCGTACCGCGTCCGCGGCAGATCATAATAAGCCCACTCCGCCCAACTATCCAACCACGGCAGGTAAACCGGGTTTTTTGTTTCCTCATACACATACGCCAGCGTGAGAAACACAGCCATAGTGTTGATATTCTTCGTCGTCCCCCCCGCGGCAAACCTCGCAGCAAACCAGTCTTCGATGAGGGCCAGGTGGGCAGGGTTGCGGGTGAGGGTGTAGTATTGCCAGATGCCGTAGAGGCCGATGCCGTGGGTCCATTCCCAGTCGTGCCAGCCTTTGGTGTCGATTATGCGGCCGTCGGGGAGGGGGAGGAGGAAGGTGCCGGTGGGGTCGCGGATGGTGACGAGGGCGGTGATGAGGTGGTTGATGGTGGTGTGGATTGAGGAGGGGGTTATCCCAGATGGTGTGGTGGAAGAGCTGTGGTCTGCGGGCATTTTCTGTTTCTGTGATGTGAAAATCAGGTAGGGTAAGAAAGGGAAGAGGTGTCGAAGGATTGGCGAATATGGTGATGATGATATTACAGGGTTGGAGAACCAAAGTTTGCACATAAACAACAAAGTGAATAAACAGATTCCAGCGCTCCAAGTTCAAAGCAATTCCCCAATGCCCCGGCCTTAAAAACATCTGCTTGGTGGAGAATTCCCTCGTTGGGGTCCATCTTGGGAACTCGGCCTGTATTTAACCGAGCTTCCCCCCTCGGCCCAATAACCGGCGAGCTACCCCCGAAAGCGGGGAACCCGGCGCGGGGAAGTGGGGCCGTCATCCTTTCTGATCTCTCACTTTCACTGTGGAGTTCATTTTTCTGTGTAGAAATTGGGGATTAAAGCTAGGGGAGACCTCGGGGGAATTAACGCGAGTGCGTGTGTTTAAACTACACTAGCTTGACTAGTTTGGATTAGAATCCGGGGAATAAACCAGAAAAAAAAGCACGTGGCAGGGAAACATTCACATCCCGGCTGGACTCTTCCCCATGGGGTCCGGGGTATGACCCTTGAGGGTGTCACTGCGTCTGCCGTCTGGTTTAAATGGCTGATGTCCCGTTGTCTGTCTGCACCCGTCCGTGTCTCGACCCAGCTGTCTTTCTTGTTTCTTTCTGCTCGATCCTCCCCTTATGCGACAGCCAACATGTCCAAAAACGACACCATCGAAGCCGACCGCGTCGACGACCCCGAGCTCGAAAAGTCCCGGCCCGACTATGGCAAAGTCGACAAGGAGCTCGCGCAGTATGTCTCGGACCGGCGTGTCGAGATTTCCCCCGAGGAAGACACCCGCCTGCGCAAGCTGATTGACAAGCGCATTCTGGCGGTCATGATCACGACCTATTTCCTGCAGGCGATCGACAAGGGGACCATGAGCTTTGCGTCGATTATGGGGATTATTGAGGATAATGATTTGCAGAAGCAGGAGGTATTCCCCCTTTCCCTTTTTCTTTTCGTTCTTCTCTGTTTGTTTATTGCTAATACTGATTATGATTAGTACCAATGGCTCACAACCTGCATCTACATAACCATCCTAGTAGTGGAATACCCCCAAAACTGGCTCATCGCGCGCGTCCCCATCGCCAAATACCTCTCCTTCTCCATCATGGCCTGGGGCGCCGTCCTCGCCTGCACCGCTGCCTGCCACAACTTTGCCGGCCTCGTCACCGTCCGCACACTCCTAGGCCTCTTCGAAAGCGTCTGCCAGCCCGCCTTCGTCGTCCTCTCCAGCACGTGGTATAAACGCGAGGAACAGACCGCCCGCGTGACGTATTGGTACATGATGAACGGCGCGCAGCAGATGGTCGGCGGGCTGTTGGCGTATTGTTTTTCGTTGATTACTACCGGCCCGCTCAAGTCGTGGCAGTGGTTGTTTCTGGGGTATGGGGTCGTGTCGGTGGTGTATGGCGGGTTTGTGGGGTGGTGGATGCCGGATTCGCCGATGCGGGCCAAGTGTTTCTCGGAGGAGGATAAGAGGTTGATGGTGGAGAGGGTCAGGGCGAATCAGACGGGGGTGCAGAATCGGGAGTGGAAGAAGAGTCAGGCGTGGGAGGGGATTAAGGATCCGCAGGCGTGGGGGTATGCGTTGATTCAGTTGTGCACGACGTTGCCGACGAGTGGGCTGGGGAGCTTTCAGGGGTTGATTATTAAAGGGTTTGGGTTTACGACGCTGCAGACGCAGTTGTTGGCCATGGTGCTGGGGGCGTATATCATTATTGTGTTGTTGAGCTCGTCGTGGTTGGTCAAGAAGACGGGGCAGAACTTGTTGGTTATGCTGGGGTTTGTTGTGCCGTAAGCCTCTTTTCCCTTTTACTTTATTTTCCCCCTTTTTATCTGTTTCGATGCTGATAACTGGCAGCTCCTTCGTCGGCACAATCTGCCTCATGACGGTCCCGATCGAGTCCCTGGGGCAAAAGGTCGGCCTGGTGATTTGTTACTACATCACGCTGTCGTTTTGGTCGGCACAGACCCTGGCGCTGTCGATGCTGTCGCGCAACGTGGCGGGGCAGACCAAGAAGAGTGTTTGTGTGGCCCTGAACTTTATCGTGTGGTCCACCGGGAATGCCATTGGTATGTTTTTGTCTCATTCCCCCTTTCCTGTTAAAGTGTTGTACTATGTATTAACAAGCAGACAGGCCCCCAAGTCTTCCTGGACTGGGACAAACCCCGGTATTTTATTGCCTTTGCGACGCACCTCGGTTGTTATAGTCTGCTGGTGATTGTGATTATTGGGCTAAGGTTCTATCTGAAGCACCAGAACAAGAAGCGGGATGCGCTGGCGGAAGCGGGAGCGAGTGAAGCACGGGACGACCAGTTGGTGCATGCGTTTGAGGACTTGACGGACAAGGAGAATCCGAACTTTCGGTATGTGTATTAATCCACATGACGGTGTCTTTGAGAATCCACATAATTGTTTGGCTTTTGAATTTAATGTGCTTGACTGTCATTTAATGGATACGTTGGCTCTCGTTTAATGTGTTTAACTGTGATTCAACGTGTAATGAAATGGTTCTAATCCGGGTATCTCTCTCTCTCTCTCTCTCTCTCTCTCTCTCATATCTCTGCAACATTTCGCAACTCATTCTAAGACTTCACCATGAACCCCTCCTTCCCGTCCCCCTCTACACCCTCCCTAACAGCAAAGATCCCAAACCGACTAACCCCCCCTTCATTCTCCCCGCCGTCCACTCGGCCCTCCCAGTCCGGCACCGTCCCCCAGCCCATCCAGAACCGCAGTCCTTTTTCTTTTGCATCTCCGTTTCCGTCCACCAATGAAGTTGTTGATCCTGTTTTGATGCCTAACCATCCGAGGTTGTATTTCCCTTTCTCTCCTCCTTTCTCTTCCTCGCTCACTTTCCCACCTCCTTTCCCATCCCCCCCTTGTCCATAACCCCCCAGCCCCTGGTAACCCCCGTGATAACCCCCCTGATCATAGTGTTGTGAGTGAGAAAAGTGCGGTTCAAATAAATTCCCCCCCGCCACCAAAGCGCCCACACTAGCAATACTCATCACCCGTCTCGGCAGCACATCCGTCTCCCTCAAACACGCCCATCCCACCAGCACCAACACCACTGCTGCACCCAACAACGCCTGCAAGATCCTTGTCGATGTCCTGTCCTGCTGGACCCTTAACGGGCCCTCGCCGAGGGCGGAGGTTGCTGTGCCGTGGTAGGTTGGGACGTCGTCCGTGTTGGGGGTTGTGGGGAGGTTATTGGGGGGGGAGTCGTAGGAGGTATGCCGGGGGGGTGGTTGGTAGCCAGCAGGGAGGAGAGATAAAGGCAAAGTGGTGTTGGTAGTGTTGGCGGGGACGATACGTTGGGCGAGATTTTGGGCTTGGATGAGGCCGTGGTGGTGGTGGATTGCAGATATCACTGCATCCGTAGAATTGGGCGTGCCGAGGTCGGTGAGGGGGACAGACCAGGGGGAGGAGGTTAACAGCGCGAAGAAGGGGTCGAGGTGGTTGGGGGCGGTGGTGAGTTGGGCCAGGTAGGAGTAGAAGGAGGTGCCGGGGTAGGTGGAGATTGTGGTTTGGTGGGAGGGGGTGTTGTTGGAGACGAGGACGGGGGGGTTGGAGGTGGTGGTGTCGAGGGTTAGGTTGAGGGAGGTGAATGTGGCAGACACAGAAACCCGCTCGAAGGTTTCGTTGCAGCCGAGGGCCACAATATGTTTCACCGCGGACGGCCGGGCGTGGTAGTCCAGCTGGCCCCAGGTGTAGAGGTAGTCGCTGCAGCCTTGGGTGGTGGAGACGTTGCTGGTGGCGTCGCCGAGCCCGAAAAAGGTCATGTTGGGGTAAGTCGGGAGGATGTTGTTGTAGCCCCATTCTTCGTACTGCGGGAAGGTGTTGCAGCCTTCGCCGGCGATGGTGATGCCGAGCGGGTTGGTGAACTCGGTGTACTCGATCGTGTAGCCGCGCGTGTGGTTGAGGGTGATGTCAGCGGGGGTGTATAGTCGACAGGAGAGGGTTGACCGGAGAGCGGGGACTTCGGCGGTGATGGACATGGTCGAGGTGTTGAGGTACTTGGGCAGAGGCCCATCGATAGTAGGCACCATCTGGGGAAAGGCCAGGGTATCGTACGTCCATGCCGGGAACGACAAGTTACTCGCCAGCACGAGCGACGCGAGCACATTCCCGTCTTGCGTGCTATATTGCCGTACATCAAACGACTGGTTCACCCGCAACGAGACGCCAACAACAGCAGGCACCGCCATGGGCTGAAACAGCGACGCCGAGAAGATGGTAAACAGCGACGCCACCAAAAACGCCGTCGTCGCTGACAGGGCACCCACATTCCCAAACTGCACCTCGCGCCACAGCGTGCGGGGGATGGACATGTCCATAAAGTCCAGCGTGGCATACGCCTTGGCACTCACGCCGTTCTTCAGTTCCGTGTACGGGGCCAGTGACCGAATCTGGAAGTCGATCGTCGAAAACAACATGGACAGCGCGCCAAACACAATAGCCGGCACGGCGGTCCAGCTGTAGTGCAAATAAGTCCCGCTGCCGACGTCGCCGAGCCCGTTGTCGGCTTCGGACTTGCGCAGCATCAGGTCGAGGGCCACGATCAGTAAGATAAGCAGGACGCAGAGGGCGAGTCGAGAGAATGGGTGCAGCGCGCTGGGGTGTGCCGCTTTGGAGATGATTTGCGGGAAGGTGTGGTGGTGTCGAATGGTGGTGCTGGTATCTTTTAGGATCACGAACTTGCCGTTGTTGTTGTTGTCAGCCCCTGAATCCAACCCTAACCCTGACTCTCCCCCTGAGCCAAGATATTCCGTCCGCGCGCTCAACCCTAACCCTGACCCTTTACCCCCATTTTCTCCCTTATCCTCACCAACCCCCCCCTTAGCCCCCTCATGAGAGCCATCCCCAACAACCCCCGAATAAAACCACCCCCCCCTAAGCGGCTTAGCCAACCCCTCCCGATCCGCCGCGCCCCCAAACCTCAACATCCCCACCAACCCCCGACTCCCCCCGACCAACCTCTCCATCCCCGGCAACGTCGTCGGACTACACGGCAACAACCCCCCCCTCGGCACAGTCCACACCACCACCCCCCCGACAAGCACCAAACACACCCCCGCCAACGCCGCCATCCAATGAGCCGCCCACGGCGAGATAATCAGCCGCGTATCGGTTATGATGACGGATCCTGTGGCCGGGATGGAGGCGGGGGCCATGAGGGATTGTTTGGCGATTATGGCGCCGATTTGGGCGTAGTAGCGCGTTGCGACGCGGGTGAGGCGGGTTGAGTTGAAGAGGACAGGCAGGGGTTCGGTGGGGAGGAGTTGCGTGGGCAGGGCTAAGGCGGTGTAGGCGTCTACGTCTACTGACATATCACCGCGGCCGGCGCGGGTGGTTTGGCCGTAGGGGTTGGAGACGAGAGAGAGGGAGGGGGAGTTGGCGAAGGCGGTGTAGTGGGCATCCATTATATCCCAGGGGGAGACGGAGTCCAGCATGCGGGGGGTTTGTTTGAAGGATGGGGATTCGGGGGCCGGGGTCACGCTTTTGGTGACGGTGCCGTTGCGGACGACGTCGACTTTGGTGATGGCGTAGGTCGGGGTGCAGAGGAGGGCCGTGGCGCGGTGGAGGGTGGCTAGGTACGGGTGCCGTTTGCCTTGGCCGGTGTAGTCTTTGAAGGTCTGGGAGAAGTCGATGGCGTAGGTCATGTTGGCGAAGAGGACCAGCACGCGGTCGTCTTTCCTATCATTTTGGTCTGTCGTTTTGTTTCCACTTCCACCGTCCGGCCCATCACACTGCACCTTGGCAAACCGCGAAAACACCACCGGACACGTCTTATTATTCCCACACCCCCACGTCGGCGACGGTGAGATCACGAGATCCTTGATCCCACACCCCGATTTGGCCCCCGACACCGTCGCATTCATCACCTGGTCGCTATAATGCGGATCCGGCGGCGCAGCCCCTTTCACGCCAAACTGCACCTCCTCACACTCCAGCCCGTTCCCAAACCCGTCCACCCGCACCGTTGCCTGTGTCGTGCGCCCTAGCAAGTCGCTCGCAAAAGCCTGGTACGCATACTCGGCGTGCACGCCGTCAGGATACGTGATATTCCTATCCGCCAACCCTTGCATGACGTAGTACGCCAGGTTGCCTGTATGTGACAGACGTCCCGCGGTGTTATCCGCAAAGGTGTCCTGTAGCGTGACGGGCCACGAGGTCTTGGCCACGTCGGTCCAGGTGAGCGAGATGAGACCTGTGGAAATGACGATGAGGGCTTTGATCAGGATGGCGACGGTCGCTGTGGCGGATACGGTAAAGTCCCGGTTCTTGAGCGCTTTGAAGACCGCCCAGAGCTGGAAATCGGAGAGGTAGTCGAGCAGGAGGGTCTTTTCGGCTTTGTCCCCTTTTCTGTGCCCGTTCCCGTTTGCATTCCCATTGCCGTTGCCGTCACCATGGTGGTGCTTGGCCAAGTTCACCCACGGCGCAATCAACTTGCTCTGGTACTCGGCCCGACTCCACGCCGCAGCGAGCAGCGTGAGTATTGCCGTCGGACCATATCGCCAGACGTAGTGCAGTTGCGGAGAAGACGCCGCGACGCCGGTGTCGCGCTGGGAGATCGCTTGGAGCGTTTCGACGGCGAGGATGACGAAGCCGAACCAGAAGGCGAAGATGGCTAGGATGCGGCGGCGGAGGTAGAAGGGACGCCAGGGTAAGGAGGGGTTGGGGAGCAGCGGGGGGTTTGCGTCGGGGCCGGATAGGAATGAGCTGTAGGGGGGGAGGACGGTGGTGGTTGTTGTTGGGGTTGGTGTTGTCGGGCTGGTGTGTGTCGGTTGTGATGGTGGGTGTGATGGTGATGGTGATGGTGTTGGGAATACCGCTGGTGTTGATTGCGGTTGCGGTTGATGTGTCGGTTCCATTTCTATGCCGTCATTCGCGTCGGTGCCAGACCCTACAGCGTGGTAGCCGTGCCGTGGAAGCAGTGTCGCCATCCGGACGGCCTCGTCGTGGACAATACCTAGCGAAAGGCTCACAACTTCCACTTTCTTACGTACTTACTACACTCAGTCAGAACAAAACTGTAAACTCTATTTCTGGGACCCTCCCAGTTTTGATCGCAGACCCAAACCCAGACTCCAAACCCCTGAAATCTCAAATCCTTAAGATGCTGCCTGGAGGCGCAAATCGCCTGCGGCCTGTCGATCTCTCCCGCTCTCCAACCCAATCGTGACCTCTGTACCACGCTGACAGCCCCGCAAGTGGATCGTCAACGGCCGACCACAACGCGCTTCTCAAGCCTGTCAGCATGCCGCTTGTCCGCTGACTGTGCCGTCGTGTATCCATTTTCTACGAGTGGCGAATGGTAACTGGCTATCGTCCGAGGTGGAACGGAACACAATCCAAAATAACCCAGAAAAAAAGCGAATAAGAGAAAAACATCGGACTGGGGGCGGCCCGCTGCTGTGCCACGTCGGCAAGCCCTGGAAGTGCCGTCGATTGGACCGGGGCCCGAAATCCTTGCCCCGCTATTTACTGCTTTTGGGACTAGCTTCGGAGAGGCGAAACCAAGCATTGCAGGGCTTTGCTTCGGATGCACGCAAACACTTAACACGCTGCAAACACTGCCCGCAAGACGCAAGACGCAAGACGCAAGACGCGAGCCACACAAGCCTCGGACTTGGAGAGCGAGGGGAATGATGCGGTTGGCTGTGATGTCCGAGTTGACGCTTATTTGTAATTAGTTGTTTCTCAATGTACATTCTACGGTTGTTTGTGTGGTAATAATTACTTGTTAGTTAATTTGACGAAATACAAAGATATTAATTTGACAAGCATCGAGTTCTATCAATTTAAAAGTAAACACAGAACGCTGACCCAAAAAACTTGACATGCCTCCCAACTCAAGGAGAATCACAACAGATGCACTTACACTATGCCGACGAGTTGACCCAAGTTGCTCATATAATTATTAGGTGATACAACGACACGCACTCATCTTACAACCCATAGCCCCAATCCTTCCGGGCGTACGAATTCTCGTAACTCGAGAGTTGTGTCTCCAACCGGCCACCATACACAAAAATGACAAAACAAATCCTCCGCGTCGTCTGAATAAGCGGTGCAAGCCGTCCGGCAAAACAAGATGAAGGTCGATGGTCGCTTTGGCTGGCCGGTCGATTCCAAGGTCGGGCCGCGGCCTAGCCTTTGGCTAACAGCGGAGAAACCTAGGTAATTATGCAAAACTAGGACGCAAACATAGAGTGATATAATGGTAAGTAGTCGGGTAGAAGAGTCGCAGTGCAAAATGGATTGGCGTTGCGAAACGTTTAGCTCCTAACAGCTGTTTGTCAAGGGGGTTGTCGTGTGTTTTGCGCTATGTTGAGCCGACGACTGGTTACATTGGAGTTGGTGACTGCCACAGTAATGCGTGTAGAGGACACGGAGAGTTGAGCAAACCCCTGTTTGTCATGGACCGTAGCGAACTGGTAGCGTTAAACTTCTGGAAAGCTTCGAATTCTTGCGTCTCACATGATGGACTTTTCCCCTGCCACTACAAGGCGCAAGCCTCGGACGTGGGAGAGCGAGGGGATTGGTTGCGAGGTCCGAGTCGATGTCTATTTGTTACCGTTGTCTTTTGATGACATTTGAGGGCTGCCAGAATGGCGAAATAAACAAGTCTGTTGCAGGCCGTTAAGAATTATTGAAGCGGCACGCCATTCGCAGCCAAAGAACCCAACAGAAGTTGTTATGGAATAACTTCGAGAAGTCAAATAATGTACCGCAAGGAACTCATCTACCAGTAGATGGTGTACAGTGTTTTACACTCCAGGTTTCTCCTGGGTTGTCACGATCATAGATGATGGTACCCGAGCTTGCCCGGTATAGTCATGAATTTACGGGGCCGTAACGTTGACACAGCACGTGCTCGTCATGGATGCAAGCGGCCGGAAAGGCCTGCAAGTGGCTACACCAATCAGTCGGTAACAATATATACCCCGTCAATGTTAAGGAACCCAGCAAGAGTGGGTGTGCCAGCTAACTGGCGCGGTCTAATTGTTACAAACACCTTTGTTTGCACCCAAAACGTCATGCGAGCAATCAGACTTTTCAAGTTTCAAGGACCATGCTGCAGTATGTACGTAAAGATAGAGACTACCCCCTTGCTTGATTTCGATCCAGCTTCCCCAAACCAACCTCCAGTTCCTCACTCCTGTCAACATATGCCGGGTGACTAAGAAATGCAGTCCCAGCCATCGTCTTCATGATTCTTGGCTGTGTCTTCTGCGGGTTCTCGGGCTCCTCTCACCTTCAAAGAGTCAAGTGCTGATTTCGATACACCGGCTCCCTTGGACTAGACCACATCGTTCCTTTCGTGCTTTCGGTCAGTACATACGTTGTTCATTGGGCCTAGATAACAAAATTAGGCCGTTTGCGTTGTTTTGACTGCAGGATATGAAGCCTCCCGCTATGCGCGCGGACCGACCCTGTTGAACACAAAATGGAAGAGACAATGACTGTTGGCAAGGATTGATTACAGGATTGGCGCTAGTGCTCATTCCCTTCCATGTGGGGAACTATGCCATTCCTTGAAAGTTATAGGAGTGCATTGGGCATCAATGTCGAGTTCCTCGAAGCTCGCGAGCTCTGCCATCCAATCACCACCCACCATCAGATGCGGCTCGTTTGTCAAAAGTTTGCGCTTGCACATTAACTCCTTCCTGACCCCGAGCAGAGCCTCATTTCCCCACCAAGTACCCAGATTCCAAGGTAGACTCCCAGAGCTGTATGGTCCCCTATTCTCCACACCCAGTCCAACTCTAACTCTGGCGATTGCGTAGGTGTTGTGGAGGGTATTGGCCTGGCGTGAAGCTGCTATGGCTCATCCGGTATTCGTCTAAGCACGTCTCTCCCTTTTGCCGACTCTCTAGATACGGAGGTACGTGCCTGGCCCCAATGAGACCCAGTAACCCGTTGGGGGTGCCAAATTGATGCCCACCACCCGCACAGTGCTGAAAACCTCATGCTTCCGTCCAATCTTAGTAAGGTAGGTGCCTGTAAGTCATGCACATGTGTGGTCTTCCCATATTTACTTCACGCCTAGCGCGGCTATTTACTAATTAAATAATAAGAGAACACCAGAAAATAAGTACAGGGAAGGAAGTGGATAAGGGGGATGACGCTCGTTCCACCCGTGACCTCTAGGTACGTACGTGTACACGGTTATACCTCATCAAGCCACCACACGGCAGCCGGGCCATCCCTTCAAAACCTTCAACGTGGCCCTGTCCTCGTCCATAGATCGGCTGACTTGTGTGATCCATATCGACGAAAAGGGCCGGCTGCTTCTGCGCCTGCGGATGTCGCGGGACCGCGATTAATCATGGAGCCTGGAGCTGTGCTACCGAGGGGGTCAAGTACCCCTGATCAAGACCAGACATCGTAAAAGTCGTCAACGTACAAACCAAGAAACTGTCCCTCACACTTTGTCAAACGGCTTGGGTAGCAATGCTGGTTGTCATTGTAAAGTCATGGGTGGGATTGGGCTTGTGAACACGGCAGCGACGATCACACCACGGAGAACGCACCCAGCACCATTGAGAGGGGACCGCTTGTTTTGGGCAAGGACGAGACGTGGGGAGATAAAACAGTGTACTATATATAAACCCGATTCACCCTCCCGAATCATACCTCATTTCCCCCATCAGCAATCAGCACCGGCATTCCGGACCTGCAAGCCTTTGCCGCATCCGCAAAACGCTCATCAGAATGCCAGACCCCATCCCCAGGCCCGCGGGCTGCTGCGCCATCGATACCGACTTCGGCACCACTGCCAATCGCTTCCTCTTTTACGTCGACAGCAACAACCACATTGTCTACTACAAGTTGGACGCCACCGACCTGGCTAACAACCCGGCTAGCTATGTATACCAAAACGTCATTACCGAAAGGGGAGCGCCCGTCGAGGTTTATTCCGAGACGATCGCGGGTTTAGCCTACTTGAAAAACGAGGTACGCTTAATATCCTGACGTCTGTTCCAGATATCACCGCGCCGGCCGCTGATTCCAACTATCCACCCACACCTTAGGTCCGCATCTACTACGTGAAGTATATGGAGAACCCAAACAGGAGAATGGGGTTGTACGTTCGCGAGGCACTCGGCTTGCTGAGTGACGACGGCAGTACAATCTCGTGGTTGCCCGGCCATATCAACCACAACAACTTCATCGACAACCTCGAGACGGTCCCGAATACGTTTATCACCGCCCTGGTCGATCAATCGAACAACTGCCCCTGGGTGATGTTTACCTCGGGTGACGGCGGCCGATTTAGGGGAACCCGTGCCGGACATATCAGGCCCAACAACGATACGGCTGAAAATGCGCCGCTGGAGATGTGGAACTCCGCCATCATTCAGTTGCACGGCGGACCGTAGTTGGCTTCTCAATGATGTCGGAAAACACACTGGGGATTTGGTTTTCGTTCTTGTCGGGTTCTTCGTGGAGGAGCAACACCCACTGAAAGGATGTCCGAGTTCGCCTTTGCTAGGTAATTAGCTAGTTACCGGATCGAAATTACACCAAATTTGGGGTTGACCCCCTCGATGAGACGTGACTTGCCGGTGGAGAACACGTAACATCTTAATCAGGCACTCTCTTCAAGTCACCGAGGCAGCTTTTCGCAAACTGAAGTATACACAACGAGGTAAAGAGCGGACACGTAATCACCGGTCCATAACACAGCAGCATATCCCCCATCAACGACTCGAAAATGAACCCTTAAGGGGTTATTAAAACCCTTAAGGCTAGGGTTAGGGTTAGCAGCATCCAACCGGTTGACACTGTGCGCTTCATGGAAATGAGCTTCCATCCATGACCTCGATCCACATGACTCGGATGAAACCAACAACGTAAGTTTTATTGTCCGCCTGTAACTAGCCTTAGCTCATTCTACCCAGGTATCGAGGTTTGAATCCATGCGTGTGTTTCGATACCCACCTCCACCCTGTTTTGTCCACTGCATGGGTATTTGCTCTCCTGTCCATCAGTCAACCCATAAATTAACATCACACACGCACAAGGCACACCAGGTAAATTTTTATGTCGTTTTATTCAAAATCACAACGCTAAGTGGAGTAGTAAGTAAGCAAGTACGACGTAACACTTAAGAAAAAAAAGGAGATTCCTCCACCCCTTTATATGGCGTTATCATCAAACCCAAGAAACGCCCAGCATAGAAAGTCCGTCAGTAGTTAACAAATCAAGACCAAAAAAGTGAAACGGGGAAGAACCAGAGGAGCAGATACCAACCCACCCAAATCCAAGTCGTTTTACCACTTCGAAATGCACCGGACTCCCTACCTTTTAGAACCTTACCCTACCCATTTAAATTGACCGAACTCCCAAAGCCACTCAATAACGACTTCACTTCCTCCTTCTCCCCTTAGACCCCTTCCCCTTCCCCCCTTTCCCCGCCCCAGTATCCGTCCCCGCGCCCCCAATCCCATGCTGCGTCTCCATATGCCTCTCTATATTATCCCTCCTCCCCTCCATTCCACACACCGTGCACCTTGCCTTCTCAGACGGGATGTTGTGCGCTTCAGCGTAGGCGCGGTGCTTTGCCCTGAGATGGCGGTTGAGCATGCGGGCGTCTTTGAAGGGTTGGGTGCAGCGCGGGGTGAGGGTGGAGAGATCGCTGGGGATAGGCAAGGGAGAGGTTGAGTCGAGTTGGAAGGGGCAGTGGAAGCGGCCTGGGCGTGGGGTGGTTCGTGGTGCTTGGGGGGTTGTTGAGGTTGGGGTCGAGGTCGGGTTTGTGGTTGCTGGGAGTGGTAGCTGTGGGGGGTTGGTGGTTGTGGGTGAGGGTGTTTGTTGGCCTGCGACGCGAGGCAGGATAGGGATGAGGTTGGGAAGCGTTGGGGACATGGGTGTGTAGGGTAGTGGCTGGTCGGGCGGAGAGTACATCTCAGGACTTGAGCGAGTGCTGGAGAGGAGGGATGGTGTAGGGTCCAGGAGGGGAAGGGGCTCCGCGAAGTTAAATGGGTTGAGCGCCATGGGGCCGTCGGGGAACACCAACGGATGGACGGGGAAGTCGGCGGGGAGATCCATGTCGAGGACCTGCATGAGTTGGGCGTCGAGGTCCTCAAGCGTGCCCATGGCGTCCAAATCGGGGACTTCGTAGTGGTCAAACTGCGGCGCGCAGAGAAACGCGTCGTTTGTCGGGAACGGGAGTTGGGTCATTGTCATGCCGGAAAGATCCGGGAAGGGCATGTCCAGCGGTAGATCCATTTGTGGGGTGACCGGGAGCTGCCGCATGTCTGCCGGGGCAGGCATGGAAAAAGGCGGCTCCGTCCAGGCCAACTCTCCGAGGTCTTCCTGCTGTGAAGAAACGTCCAGCGGAGAGTAGGCCTGGGGCGATGATTTGCGTGTGGACATCTGGTTGAAGACCCAACTCACGTCGCCGTGAGTTGGACGTGCTCCTTCGAGCTGAGACATGGGGAGGGTGGTGTGGTAAGAGAACTCTGGTTCAAAAGGGTGTGTGATTTCGTTGTGGAATGGTGCGGCGGTCGTCGTCGACGAGCGGCGTAGGAGCGGGTTGTTGCTGTAGCTGTCGCTGTCGCTATTGTTGTTGCTTACTTGTGTTGGTTGCTGTTGCTGTTGCGGTTGCGGTTGCGGTTGCTGTTGTGGTTGTTGTTGCGTTTGCGCGCAGGCTGATGCGGGCGATTGTTGTGAAGGGACCAGTTTTTCGACGTGATCCAGGTCGGGAGTCTCGCCCGCATCAGGGCAAACCGCATTAACAACCAGCGCGAGTAATTGCCCCCCCTAGCCACCACCATTCCTCTATAATCACCAGACGCACGCCCTCCTTCATGGAAACCGTACGAAAATCCGCAACCTGGGACCCAACATGTAGCCATCTTGGTCCCGCACCGCTGCATCGACGAAAGGAAAACTCCTCGCCCGGGGGGCTCCTTCGCCCTCGGAAGCAAAGGGCCCGACGGGCCGACCCGGGGTCGTAGCCATAACCGCGGTCACTATCCGGATCGCCGAGGTTGTCGTGGGTGCTGGTTGCGGGTCGTGATATCTGCTCCTCGATGCTGAAACCGACCTTCTCCTTCAACTCGGGTTGCCCCGGGTCAGTCGGGTCTGCGTCAATTCCAAGCTCGGGCAGGAGCAAAAGGGCGGGTTCCGAGATCCGGTCGTTGTTGTGGTGTGGGAAACGACCGGAAGCATGGCTCATAGAGCCAGACGCGCAAAAGGTTGGGGAAAGGGAAACCGAAAATCCAAGCCAATATGTTTTTGGTGTTTGTTGTTTTTGTTGACCTCTAGGTCTCTTGATAGGCCGAGGGGACGGGAGAGATGTCGTTGAAATTCGTAACAAAGATGGAAGAAGGGTCGCATGAAAAGTCGAAACAAAAATCTGAAGAACCGATAAAGGGAAAAGTAACGGAAAGAAAAGATTGCGTTCGCTGCAGGGCACCGCCGTGTCGTCCCAAAGGCGTGTGTCTCCGAACGTTGAGGCGGATTTGAGCCGCCTAGACCCCCGGTATTATGCCGTCGTGTATACTGGCTGTCACCGAATTCGCATCGGTGACTTGGGCTGGCATGCCCGGAGGGGGACTGGTACTTTTCAAGCTTACAAAAAAGGGTTAGAACCTCGACATTTACAATCCACAACATGGGTTTATCCTACCTGGTTCCGTTCGCGCAATCACAGCAGTACCAGAATCGGAAGTCTGAACCGGGTGTTCCGCAGAAATCTTCCATGGTTGCGACTGCGTCGGTCGACGCTTGGAATGCTACTGCAAAAGTTACTGAAAAAAGGGTGTGTTTACAAGGTGTGAAGCGGTGTGTTGGTGGTGAGGACGAGAGTGAGGACGATGCGGTTGCGGATGTTGGGAAGGAGGCAGGAACGGGTTCGACTTCCGGGCGAGGAGTCATGGGTTTTAACACCGGCCTCAGGCTGCCCGGCCGCTGGTGGTCAAACTGCGGCCGTGGCGCAATTGCCACTGTCTGATTGGCCCAGAAATTGAGGACGGATGGCGGGGCAGAATACGACTCTCCGTCCTCAACTTGTGGTGGCAGTGCTGGTGGGGTAAATATCTTCATAAGGGCTTGGAGTTTCGATCCTCTTTTGGTTTTTTTTTTCTCTTTCGGAATTTTAAGGTAATTATGGCGTCACTTTATTCGAGATTCAAGACCCTATCAGCATGGTTTTCCATCGTGGTCGACATGAGATAAGATCGAGAAAATGTTGCCAAGCCCAGATCGACCCCTGCTTGCCCGGCTGACAGGGGTCTGACAGGGCTGCAGGACCCAGCCCGGGAGAGGCAACCCGGACTTCCTTTCCTTCCTGATAGTAGCACTGTCGCCATTATTCCTGCGTCCAAGTCTTTTTCGGTGAGAGAAGTGGCCTTGAAGATGAGAGGAAGAATGAGACCTTTGCAGGTGAAGAGACCGGTAAAATGCTAATTACATGTATAATTACAAGTGACAAGCCAAAGTCACGTCACTCCCTTCACCTTTTGTTAGGTAATTCGTAAAGGTCGGTTAGGATTTAGATACCTCCAACCACAACATGGGTTCAAAGCTTATTTACTGCTGCCACTTATTCTCACAACACCAACTGGATGGGGTGGAAAGGGCAAGTTTAAGTTTCTGCGTCATCAAGGGGAATCTCGTGCCAGTCTTTCATCCAAAGCATTGTGGCCGTTGCTGTTGCTGTTGCTGCTGACCGCGTGGCTCAGATCGGACGAGCGGCGCGGTGCCATCGGCCGGCGGTTGTAGGGGTGGGTGCCTTGCCGCTCCGGAGTCCAAGTACCTAGGTATTCTTCATCTGAATCCCGATATCCATTATTCCAGTAATGTCGACGCCAGAGACATGTTGGCGGCAATGAGCATTGTTCCCAAACGTTGCCTCGTCAGTACAGTGCGCAGGACAGTGCCAGTGTCCGATTAAAACACTGTATTGGCGCAGTTGAGCTGAACAACAACCAACCGGGCTAGTTAACGTAGCCGCCTTGGAAGCCGCATGCAGCGGTTGACGGCTGTGCTAACGCCCTCCCTTGCTGTGTTGGTTTCTTGCACTAGTAAAAATTCCCAGAATTCCGGCTCAAGCTGCTCGTGGAAACCTCCCTGTCCTCTCTTCATCACAACATTAATTAATCAAAAAAGGATCTTCTTCAAATCCGAGTCAGGGATCCATCCAGATTCAGGAACATGAAGTGATGCAAGACAAGAAAACAGAGACAGGACATCGACATCACAACAATGGATCTCCGCAGAGACGGCCACATACACGACTACGAGGAGGTCTACCTTCCGATCGCCTCCCTGAACGATCACAGCCGTGAGATCTTAACACGCGCCATCACCAACGTTTTATCGACAGATCTTGCGAAACAAACCTACACTCAAATAGTCGACGGATTGCCGTTATCGGATGTAGCCCGTGACACATATCTACCGCCCCCTTATTTCAGGCACCCGTTATTCACTGATCACAACGAACTCTGTCCCGGGGTCCTCGAAGAGGCACAGACCTTGTGCTCCGGCTTGGACATTGGGAAATTTCTAATGCCGAAAAACGTGCGTAGAAATTCACCAACGATCCCGACTTTTCCAAACGTATCCTTAGGTACTGACTTACATACGATTCAGCTCCTCCTTTGGTATCAACACACCGTTCCTGAACGCCCTCGGGCTTTGGTCGAGCTTGTGGCCAGATGTGTCCACCAGATCGGCGCTTGGCTTTATCGGCAGGACCGGAGCCGGCACAAGGAAGATGCCCTTGGTAAATGGCGTCCTTCGGAGTCCGACGCCCGATTCTACCCCAAGACATTTCCAGAGACCCTATTCTGTCACCCCTGGTACCGCGATTACGACCAATACCCGGGTGGAATAGCAGACAGTGTGGGATATTGGGCCGAGGCCCGCATCTTGGGCGGTGTGATTGTGTTTGATCGGCGTGACCCGATAATGGAGGATAACGTAGGCGTGAGTTGTTCGATCATAGTGTAGGTGGGGGACATTACTTTGAATGGGTTTTGTTTGACTAGTACCACGCTCTAGGACGGTGTCTATACGATCGCAGACCGAAAACGCACCATCTACCGTATCTGCCGCTTTCTCGACGGCCAAGTGGAAGATCTGGTAGATTTCCTCCTCTCCGAAACCACCCCTTCGCCCGAGCAGTGCCCGCTTCCCATCCTACCCGGTCCGAACAACGGTCAACGTTTCGATCCCGAGAGTCCCATCCTGAGGACCGGTGTTTGGCGCGATCCATGGGAGCGCCGCCTTCGTCCTCGTACTGAGAAAGATCTTCGTAATACCACATCTGTCACGAACGAATTCAATTACGAGCCACATTGGGACATGGGGGAAGCGAAAGAGCGTTGTCGGAGGGAAAGAACTGAGAGGGGGTATGCATACCCGGGACCTCGCGTCATTCTGCAGCTTGATCAAACTTTCAGGTCTGCAGCTTGATCTACGAAGAAGAAGGCCATGATGCGTCTGGTGTCCATTTTCTTTTCCGGCCCCTGTCCCCAAACACATTGTTTAATTTCTCCTTCCCTTTTCCTTCCCTAGCACAGAATTTTCATATCTTCCACTACCTCAGCTAAGTCGATAGTTGAAGAAGAGTATACCCGACAGCCAGTGACTTGTTAAGAGCAGTTGTTCGAGAGGAATCTTCATGTGAGTTGGGAGAATGGAAACCACGTTACGGGGTTGGACAGCGTTAGAATAAGAAAGTCTCACAAATAAAGATAACGTTCAATCTTCTCGACGGCCGGAGTTCGGTCACACACCATGATTAGATATAGATGGTTGCACGTGAGTCTAAATCCAGATTCCTCGTGTCATTGATCCCACCTAAACATAACCCCAACCCTGGAAGGCGTCCCCCCAGCATCTTGAACGCGTACAATAATGCATAGTAAGCCGGATCAAATCTGGGTTTTTAGCGATTTAGCGACTGATGTATGGCGGCTGGGCGGGCGCGCTCCAGGGTTGGGGTTATATGTATGGGGTGGGGTCATCTGAATGTCCAGGCCGTGGGACAGTCTGAAGCAGCTGGCTCTTTTCTTTTCCACCCCTCAACCGGCAATGTTGCTGCACCAAGTTCTCCTAAAAAGCCAAGCGCGACTGTCCGAGGAAACCGATGAAGCAAGAAGCTCAACGCGCCCTTCGGGTCTCCCAACCTTGGAAGAACGAAAAGCATTTCGGGCCATGGTTTCCCCGGGTTTATTCGCTATTCCTCTCCTGGCGTGGTGTGGGTGTGCTCCATGGCAGAAAACAAGCCGTCACAGGCTCGCAGTGCATTCCCAGAGCGCTGGTGATTGGCCCATCGGGCGCAACGGCTGCTTCCCACAGGCCGCGACCCCAGCCTGTCGGGTCCTGCATGGTGCACCCCCCTTGCATTTGGGGACCCGACAGGAAAAAAAGAAAGAAAAAGCAGACATAACTTTCAGCACACGGGAATAATTCCTCATCAAATCCTGCTGGCCCGTGTCGCGATGTGTGTGCGCCGCCGTGGGGCCCAAAATACCCGTGTCCGCGGCATGCACAGCCCATGGGCTTTGTCCAATAATGCCGTGGCGTTGGTGGTACCGCTCCGTAGGCGGATCGGCTTGTGTTCCGCGAGGTGTCGGCTGCTGCAATCCGTCGTCACAATCTTGACAAATCTGAGGGGACTTTGGCCCCCCGTATGAACCTGGAAGTATTGAATCCGGGCGACGTCGGCTGGAGTCTTGGATTTAAGTCCCCGAGAACCCACCACACACCGGTTATCCGATCCCGGGTTTGACAGTGAAACCTCTTGATTTAAGGTTATTTTCTCCGTTCCACCATAAACGCGATCTGTTCCACACCAAAGTTCAAACCCGCCGACAGCCAACACCAATTACACTCCTCCGAGAGTCGACACCAATCATCCCCTAGGGCCCCTACTTTTAAGACACACACCCCCTCCAAGATGCACGCTCCGCATGTCGGACACGGTCACAAGACTGGCGAGGTGGTGCTCAACCGTTTCGGCCCAGACGACGACACCTGCACAACCACAATCCGCTATCACGCCCGGGACTTTCACGTCGAGATATCCCCGGCCTACTTCCGCAACTCCCCAGCGGTAACTTCGCAGTACCGCGCTTTTCTCGCCGCAGCCCAACAAGACACGGAAACAGACGAACACGACGACGACGAGAACCCCATCATCACACAATTCCACACCCACCTCCTCACCCTCTTCCAGCCCCTCCTCTCCCAAATTGCTCCAGATCTCCCGCCCGCGTTTGACCCGCAAAAGCTTGCCTCCGGCGCCGTCCAGCCCCTACTGTCGGACTACCTTTTCCCAGAGGAATACCACTGCCGACTGGAAGCGACGAATGACACCCCGAAACCTGTACTCTCTCAGACACCACCCGCGACTTCGTCTGCGGCTAATAACCCCGATTTCGTCACCGTCAATAACCCGGCCTTGCTCTCCGCGCTAGCCCAGCACGTGCCCTTCCTCCATCCTTCAGCTGTGCAGGTATCGTTTCGCCATCCCAGCTATGGGAATGGAAGTGGGAGGGGCTCAGGGACAAGCGGATCCAAATTCCCAACCCAAATGCTTGTCGACCTAACCGGGTCAGGAACAAAAACAGTCTGTTTCCTCAAAACCTTCTCCTCCGACCAAAATCAGGACGACGACGACGACGACAACGAAGGGCAGCAACAAAAAGCAGAGCGTATGACACAGGCTTTACAACGACACTTGCGCATTCTGGAGTCGCGGGGTCGGACGGCGGATGTGGGTGTGCCGAGGTTGTTGGGGGTTGTGGCTGTTGATGGGGTGTATGTGGCGGGGTTGTTGGTTGCTTATATCTCGCCGTCGTCGTCGTCATCACAGTCACAGACACTGCCGCCATCTCCGCCACCTTCGTCACCTCCTAGTGTTGGTCACTCGGGGAAATGAAGGGTGGATGAGAGGGGGGAGGATGTTGATGGGGAAGGGGGGGGAGTAATTATGATGAGGACGGGGTGGATGAAGTTGGGTGGATGATCGGTCTAGGATGAACGAGAATCATGGCGGCGGCGTAAATGGGTTGATGAGTGCGAGCTTTGATATGTATTTGATACATAATAATTAAATGAGTGCGCGATGCTGATAAAAATACGACAATCAGTACCCACTACTTAACACATTGGCAATAATTAATTAATTATGTGACTACCTAATTTTGTGATGGAGAATGCATGTTGCAACCTTTCATGCCTATTTATACGTCAGAAGTCATATCTAGGGTAAAAGTAGTAAAGCTAGATGCGGACTTATAAAAGGATTCGCCAATTAAGGACTTCATGTGATAAATTGCGATATCAAAAAAGGTGTGAGATGTGGTAATTGTATCTAAAGCAATTTAATCAATGCTATTAGCAAGCGAGCCTGCTGCTGTCAAGAGAGCCACCCGCAGCCTGTATACTAAAGCAGTTTGTTCTCAACTCTGACCAAACCACAACCTCCATTCAAATGTCAGATACTATCGGCAGCTCGTTGTAGCACATCCACAACATCCGACCTAAACGCCTGCTGCAACTTCAAGTCCTCCTTGTTATCATCCTTTACGTCGAAATCACCAGTGAGGCACTTGATGACAGCGCCTTGGTATTTGGTCCCCATCTTGACTCCAAGCCTCTTTTCGGCGTGTCGTAAGAGATGTTTCTTTATGCTCTGCGGGTTCTGCGCCGAGGCAAAGCCATCCTTGTCGAGACTTAGCGCAGGTTGCCAGAGGCCTTCCGGGAAAAATCCCAGTCAGTAAAAGGTGATTGTCCGATGCTTCCGTGATGGGATTGAATCACAAACCTATTTCGAGAAGCACAACGCCGAGAGCGTAAATGTCGTGGATTTTGCTGAACAACTGCGTTGGTCTCTGCTGTCTGTCCGGGTGACGGTACACATCCCGGGTCAAGCAAGTGTCGGCGTGCCCGTGCGAGAAGTATGTTTCTGGCCGGCTGAATTCAAATCCGAGAACCCATGGTTCTGAGAAGTCAAGGACCCGAGCTGATGAAGCGCCGGCTTGGTCCTTGTTCATGCTTGGGAAGAAGAGGATATTCTCGCTGCGAAAGCTCTCGTGCACCTGGAATGGATGAACCACACTGTGAGCTTCTCAGTTCAACGAGTCTTGGATTTGAGCCAGCGTCATGCTCAATAAAGTAAGCCCTTACCCATTTCACTAACTGAAGCTGCGAGATGCATTTCGAAAGCCTCAGGGCCAGCCAGAATCTCTGGCTGAGAGATGGCGCCGGGGGATCCTTTGATTTCAGGACATCCAATAGGCTGATGGGCGAAGGATCGAACCCTTCCGGAACGTTGAAAATGTAGGCGACCTTATTTTCTTTTGCCTCTCGGAACCAGCCCACACAGTTCGGTGTCCGGAAGACGATTTCCTTTGGCTGATGCAGAAGATTCGCCAACTTGTCGATGAGATCTCGAGTTCGATCATCTAGTTCGACAGGCACGGGTGCCTCGGGGGAATAGGAACGATATTCGAGCAGGACGGCTTGCCCGTCCCCGCGTATGATGCCGAATTTGTCTCCGACTCTATGAATCTCGGACGACTCGATCAGCACTGACCGGCTTACTTCGAGGCTCATGGCGTGTTCTGCGGCCTGGCTTGTGGCGATTTGCAGACGAGCGTCAACGTCAAAGCCCAGAATCTGGGAGTTATGGTTTTTTTCAAGGTGTCTCAAGTGCCGTAGGTCGACGCCTATCGATGTTCCGAGACACCAAAGCTTGATGCTCTCGTGAATGCGGCAGTTGAGCTCGCTGAACTCGGCGACTATGGTTTCCACTCGTTTCTTGTCGAGCAGAGACCACCGTATCCGCTCCAACGACCTTGGACGTCTCGAAACTGACGGATACGACGTCGGCGAAGCGACGCTAGACCTCGGTAACTTGGTCGTCATTAATGGAAGCCTTAGTTGATGCGTTGATTCATAACCCTCGGTCCTCTGACGACGGTGCATAAGTTGGTGCGCTTGATCCAGGACATCCGATGCTTGTTCGAGAAAGATGTGGATCTGCTCTTGCACGTCAACGTCAAACTGTTCGAAGAGCGATTCGCCGCCATATGTCTAGATAAGCTTCTGGTCAGGCCTCATGGAATTCCGAGTTTCGTTCACATATCTCGATGATGGTCGACCTACGCTACAGGGGTCGAGCAGTAGCATTCTCAAGGCTTTAGTCCGGTTGTTCTCATCCCGAATCTTGTCCTCGAGCGCTTTCGTGTCCTGTGTGGAATTAGATATTTGGACAAGGATCGGTTGGTGTCTGGTGTCGCAGTTGTTCAAACCCCTAGGTTCACTTGGGACACTTACGTTGTCAAAATCGCGATAGTTGGAAATCAACTCTGCCGTTCCATTTCCAATCTTCCAGAGCTGGTCGAGAACCGCGATTGTCAAACCTGCAATACCGACTGGGTCCATGATGTGACTAGGTCAACATTGGATAATCAGAAGATTCGTCCCAAGGAGACCAGAGCAGGCTAGGGACACATCAAGAAATTCATCGAGGCGCCCCACCCAGGACTTTCGCATAAGTCCTACGCGCCAATCATGGGGGCGGAAGCAGGCTCAGCCACTCAAATGAGGGGTTTTCACAGCCTCATGCAGGAGGAGGGGATTGTACTACGTAACGTGAGTGAACTCAAGCTTTTGCCTCCCTTGAGCCAGTATCACCGGAGCAATGACTGGCATACTGTCAACTTCGTCAAGAGGCATTAGGTCGTTGTGAAGTATTACTCTGGTACCCCTGAAACAAGCTTCCGCCCATGTGACTGACCTGGCCCTAAACACCGGACGGAGTATGCCACGATGGAAGAAAAAGCTGGGCCCGCTGCCTCAACCCTGAGCTGGAATACCTCGCTCTCCCGGACTGCTGTTTCGAGTCTAAGCCGCGCAATCTTCTCGGCAAATCAATCTCAATCTGCACACGGCCTCGACGATGTAATCAGGGCCGCTCGTGTACTGGATCTTCGGCGGTATCGCTGTGAGGACTTTTCGCGGGAGGAAATCCTAGGAGAAGGGGAGACATACATGGTCGAAAAATGCGTTGCCGCCCGCGGTGAGAGTGTTTTCGCCGTCAAACACCTCAAAATCAGCGACAACAACCTGTTCCACAGGCGACTGAAGTCGGTCATCTTGGAACTTGAGATCATGCGACACCGCCCCTTCAGAGCCCACCCCAACATCATGTCCGCGCTTGGATACGGGTGGAGAGCAAATGGCAACATCCTCATGCCTTACGTTGTCGTGGACTACGCCGAGTTCGGGACTCTGCGAGATCATATCAGAAGGAGCAGACCTCCGCTATCCGAGATTGAGATACTCCTTGGCGATGTTGCGTTAGGGCTTGCCGCCTTGCACATATGCGGTATTGTCCACGGGGATGTCAAATTGGACAATGTACTGGTCTTCCCGTCCTGGGATCGTCCTGCCAAAGCGCTGGTGAAGATCGCCGATTTCGGCCATGCGCTTGTCCTGAACGATGGGCGCAAGGGCGGCGATCGAGCCTCGTTGATGTACTCAGGGACACTGATGTGAGTATCACATTTTCCACACTCTCTAGATGCTGAACCGTTACTTGACATTGATCGAGTCGCTGATATGCCTGCCAGATACAACGCCCCTGAAGTAGAAGACCAAATCAACTATCCCATTGACTGGGAAGATCTCCCAAAGTGTGATATTTGGGCATTTGGGCTTCTCATCTGGGAGTCGTGCATAGGAGGCCAGGAGTACTTGAGTTATCTAAAGGAAAAGAAGCTGACGGAAGACGCCAAAGAAAATGAAACCGGCTTCGGCTCCGGAGATTGGCTCCGAATCGCAAAGCGTTCGGTACCTCAGTCGCAAAATTTGGGACCGTCCATGTTCCTTCGGATTGCTCTGCACAAGACCCTGCAGAAGGATCCGGCTATGCGCGTACGCGATGCTCGAGACCTGCCACTCTCAACGCGGTGGAAGCAAGTTCCAAACTCAATCCGTATATCTTGGCTAATTCTGACGGTGGCACAGTTCGAGTAACGCTGCCGTTCTGAAAGCTCAACTTGCGCTTCACATCGAGAACCCCAAGCAGACCTACGAGGTTTGTTCCCCGGCAGCTCTGGGCTTGCAGGTACTCTCTCGAGTCTATTGGCTCTAACCACTCTTCGCATGGCAGATGTTCCGTCTAGACAACGACAGAGATATTTACTGGGTACATCAGCAACAGATCTTCCACGGCCTCGAGCTTTCGTATCAAAACAAGTCGGCTAAAGATAGCAGCCAGACCATTTGGCAGATGGCGCTTTGCCACCACATTGGCTTTGGGACGGAACGAAATTTGCGGAAAGCCTTCAACTTTGCTCGCATGGCTAAAGAAGGGGGCCATCCAGTTGCGGAGGTTTTTTCGCATCTTCTTGCGACGCCTGAAGAGCTCGTCCCGCATAATGACCATAGCCGTTACGTCAGCCAAGTCTTGAGGTTGCTTCAGTCCAATCCCGATTCGTTAGCGGGAATGCCGCCTCTCGTGGAAGCCTTCTACGAAGGAAACGAGTCAGCAGCCCAAATCCTCTTCAACGAAACAGCTTGTCTATGTCCATCAACCATTGACGGCTATGGCCCGTTACATTGGCTCTTCGCTTTTCAAGACCAGAAGGTCCTCGACCGAGTCGTTGATATGCTCCGCAAACCAGAAGATGGCCATCTGGCGGCGCTGGTGAACTTGCCGTTTTCCGCCGAAAGAGAGGTCCACAGCCAATGGCCTTTGAAGTTTCTAGGAAGCCCGCTAGCTGTCGCTATTTCGGTCAACTCTCTCATGACAGTGAAGGCTCTCCTGAAGCTAGGCGCCGATCCATTCTCGCCAGTCTATGCCGAGGTCCAGTTCCGGCCCAAAGATCCTCGACGACAGTGGACTGCCTTTCATATCGCGGCGAGGTACCACTGCAGCGACATCCTTCAATATCTTATTGAGAACTCAGCTCCGGGGAGGCAACGGACCCTCTCGCCCCTAGGCTGCGCCTTGAGCTTCTCGACGCCCCTTGAACGCCTCGCCATGCACGGTTTAGGACACGGAGAACAACTAGATCGCACAATTCGGATTATCCAGAGCATCCAATCGCTCGCGGCTGTGGTTCCCAACGGAATGACGGCATTGATGCAAGCCATCGACTTCCAAGATCGCGATGTCTCAGCCTCGCTCCTTCGCGCCTCCCCCGAGCTTGCGGCAACCCGGTTTCACTCACCCGAGGACGAGCGCATCTTCAACTTCCCGATTCACTTTACAGTCCAAATCGCGTCACGCCACGACGCACCGGAGGCTTTGGAGATTCCAGAGCTCATCAACGCGTATGCTCCACAGCTCAGTGCCTCCGTCCCTACCCCCCGAGACCATGCCGGGAGGACGCCACTCCACCTCGCCGCGACGGGAGAGTCAGGCCTGGTTGTGGGATGGATCCTCGAAAAGAGGCCCGGCCTGCTGCATGTCGAGGACGACTTGGGCTGCACGCCTTTGCATTATTGCACCTCGGCGACCATCTGCAAGCTCCTCACCCAAAGCAAAGCGGACGTGAACCACACGGACAAGTTCGGAATGACCGCGCTGCACCGGGCGTGTTTGGGCGGACGAGCAGAGGTGGTCTCGAGCCTCCTGAAGGTCGGGCCAAAGCTGGATTTGAATAATAACAAGTACGGAACTCCGTTGCACTGCGGCGTCATAAGCGGCTCGGTAGAGATCGTCCGGTCTCTCATCGAAGCCGGAGCCCCGCTCAACGCCATTGACAAGATGGGCAACACGGCAGTTCACGTCACCGCCAAGCTCGACAGATGGAAGATCCTGCACATCCTGAGGGACAAAGGAGCCAAAACGACGATGCAGAATACACACGGTCGCGTAGCTAAGACCATTGCAGCAAATGAGGGCCAGAGGGGAAGCGTGGGCGTCTTGCGCGTCCTCGAGCACGACTGGAGCCCTCAGGATCTCAATGTAAATCGGCAGGACCTACGCGATTTTCTGTGGAACAAAGAAGAGATCGTGGCACGCGCCGAGGAGGGCATGGACAGCTGGGCGGGCCATGGACTAGATGCCGCCGACCACGATGGCGGGGATGAGCAGCTTATAGCGCCTGGTCATAATACCCACGATACTGGGGACGTGGGCAAAGAAACAACCGGATGCAAGCTGTACTCCACAGCCTACCGAGCCAACGGCCAGGCCAAAGAGGCCGTTGCGCTACTCGAGCAGGTCGTCGCCATTCAGGCTAAAACCCTCGCCGAAGACCACCCCGACCGGCTTGCGTCGCATCGAGAGCTCGCAGTAGCCTACCGAGCCAACGGCCAGCTCAAAGAGGTCATTGCGCTACTCGAGCAGGGTCACAAGGAGATCGTGCAGGTGCTGCTGGGGAAGGGTGCCAACGTCAATATACAGGGCGACGACTTCGACGATATTCTGTATACGGCTTCCTCTGGAGGCCACAAGGAGATCGTAAAGATGCTGCTAGACACGGGTGCCGACATCAATGCACAAGGCACCTTATATCGCAACGCTCTACAGGCGGCTTCTTTTAAAGGCTACAAGGAGATTGTACAGATGCTGCTAGAGAAGGGTGTCAACATCAATCCACAGGGCGGCGACTTCGGTAACCCTCTGTATTTGGCTTCCTTTCAAGGCCATAAGGAGATCGTACAGATGCTGCTGGAGGGGGGTGCCGACGTCAATGTACAAGGCCCCTTATATAGCAACGCTCTGCAGGCAGCTTCCTTTAAAGGCCATAAGGAGATCGTGCAGATGCTGCTGGAGGGGGGTGCCGACATCAATGCACAAGGCACCTTGTATCGCAACGCTCTACAGGCAGCTTCTTTTAAAGGCTACAAGGAGATCGTACAGATGCTGCTGGAGGGGGGTGCCGACGTCAATGTACAAGGCACCTTATATAGCAACGCTCTGCAGGCAGCTTCTTCTGAAGGCCATAAGGAGATCGTACAGATGCTGCTAGAGAAGGGTGTCAACATCAATTCACAGGGCAGCGACTCCCGCAACCCTCTGTATTTGGCTTCCTCTCAAGGCCATAAGGAGATCGTGCAGATGCTGCTGGAGGGCGGTGCCGACATCAATGCACAAGGCACCTTGTATCGCAACGCTCTATGGGTGGCTTCTGTCAAAGGCTACAAGGAGATCGTGCAGATGCTGCTAGAGAAGGGTGTCAACATCAATCCACAGGGCAGCGCCTTCGATAACCCTCTGTATTTGGCTTCCTCTCAAGGCCACAAGGAGATCGTAAAGATGCTGCTAGACACGGGTGCCGACATCAATGCACAAGGCACCTTGTATCGCAAAGCTCTACAGGCAGCTTCTTTTAAAGGCTACAAGGATATTGTACAGATGCTGCTAGAGGGAGGTGCCGACGTCAATGTACAAGGCACCTTATATAGCAACGCTCTACAGGTGGCTTCTTCTGAAGGCCATAAGGAGATCGTACAGATGCTGCTAGAGAAGGGTGTCAACATCAATTCACAGGGCAGCGACTCCCGCAACCCTCTGTATTTGGCTTCCTCTCAAGGCCATAAGGAGATTGTGCAGATGCTGCTGGAGGGCGGTGCCGACATCAATGCACAAGGCACCTTGTATCGCAACGCTCTATGGGTGGCTTCTATCAACGGCTACAAGGAGATCGTGCAGATGCTGCTAGAGAAGGGTGTCAACATCAATCTACAGGGCGGCGACTTCGGCAACGCTCTGTATTTAGCTTCCTCTGAAGGCTATAAGGAGATCGTACAGATGCTGCTGGAAGGGGGTGCCGACGTCAATGCACAAGGCAGGTATTGCAACACTCTACAGGTAGCTTCTTCTAAAGGCCATAAGGAGATCGTACAGATGCTGCTAGACACGGGTACCGATATCAATGCACAGGGCAGGTATTGCAACGCTCTGCAGGCGGCTTCTTCTGAAGGCCATAAGGAGATCGTACAGATGCTGCTGGAGGGGGTTGCCGACGTCAATGCACAAGGCACCTTATACAGCAACGCTCTACAGGTGGCTTCTGTCAAAGGCTACAAGGAGATCGTGCAGATGCTGCTAGAGAAGGGTGTCAACTTCAATCCACCGGACAGGTATATCATCTCTGTATGGGCGGCTTCCTCTGAAGCCCATGAGGAGATTGTACAGATGCTACTGGACGGGGGTGCCGATATCGATGGATGGTGCGACTAATGGCAATGCTTCAATACCATCCTGGGAAAAAACTGTATTCAGTGTCAAGGGCTCAGGCCTAGGGCCATGCCCTCGCAAGGCCTTGGCCATGAGC